AGAGAAGTTTTAATTGAAACGTTACAATTCGACGCGGTCGTAAACGCTTAGTTTTGACGTTCAATCATTTTCGTCTATAATAATTCGGGTTCAAATCTTTTCGCTGACTTGGGGGTATTTCATTCCGGGACTGCCCCGCGCGAGGTTGACAACTCCTTCGGAATACTTAAACGAAAGGGAAATATACGGACTACGGCAGTGTACCCTTGTGAAAATTTACGTCGCCGTGGGAGTGTGGAACCCCATTCTTAAAGGGATTTGTTCCTTTTCGGGTGACAGGCGTGCCTTTATCAAACTGCAGACATCTAAAATCCACCCCAATTTGTTAAATTTATTTTCAGAGTGGTGTGGTGGGTGGGTGTTAATTTTACGGTCTCACTAATATTCCAGAGTATTTAAGGCCAAACCTGGGAAAACTTTAAACTTTAGTTCACTGGTGGTTATAGGTTCCCGGCCCTAATCGTGTTCTCCCCGTGGGTGATGAGAATGTAGTTTGGAACATAAGAAATCGTTTAGTTTTGTTAAAGCCAGCAAGGGGCATTCGATCAATTAGGCTCAAAGTCCAGTACACGCTAGAGTGGAGATAATGATAAAAAACGGGCAATGAGTAAAATTGGATATTCGACAGCCGAACATCCTTTATCTTCCGGACCCGACGACCCTTATCAATTTATGAACATTCGCTGAATCACCGCGCTTTCATTCGACGATATATAATTGGCAAAGGGATCCATTTAAGTGGTTATTATTTGGGACCATTGGCTTCGGTAATAAATTCTATGTTAGACGCGCAGTTGAAAAAATTTGCATAACAGATGATGTATATACAGTTGTGGTATGACTGAGCTTTCTTTTTGCTTCAGGACCTCTAAAGTGATCGTCGTTTTCAGAAAATTAAAAATTTACTATCAATTTTCAATACTGATTAAGTGATCTGTTGTTGTTAAACATTATTGTTAAAAAAATATTTAGAAGGTCATTTTTTCAGTCCCAAAATATGTAATTCGTTTTTTTTTATTTTCTATTCAAACTTTTAACGTGTACTTCTATTATTGGGACTTTTTCAATGTTGTCGGTACACCCAGTTTTGTGTACCGCGATGTATATCTGAAAATATTTTGGCCGCAATCCATGCGCGTCCCCTAGGCAATAACCATCACCCTTAGCTTATTTTCCGATAGCAATCGTTCAGATTGGTTTATAAAGGACTCTTTATCGGACCGCCTATCCCCTACACACTTTCCTACTTATATCGGAGAGCAGAGAATTTGATAATATTTCGGTCTGCGCCTTGCGTGCGTGTTCCATAACAATTCGCCTTCCAGAAATGGCATATTCTGAAAGATAATCTCGTACATTCAGATCTTATGTAAGTCTAACGCAGCAACCAAAACAATGAATTTTTTTTTCATTATTTTCCATTACTTACTAATTTTTACAGATTGTAATTTGAATTAAGTAATTCATTAACTGAGTTTGCCTATTCAAAACTCTCGTATTTGCAACTTGCATAAGATAAATCCTAAATATTAAAAAACATAGCCATCCATGTTGTAAATAAACAATAGAGGGTTTTTTGTAAAGAAAACGCAACATTTTTTTACATTTTACTTCAATAACTCCTTTTTTCTACACTTATCTTCTTACGTCTAATTTAAATCAAATTCACACGATATGGAATATCAACAAGAGATTTTTGGTTAGTTTTAGAAAATAGTTACCCGGTATTTATAGTTCATTTTTAACACCCGGTTTTTGAGTACATTTTTGAATTTCTCGGTTGATTTTTCTAGACTTTTTGTTTTCCCGGATAGAACGAGAACAGAAAAATTAATTTGCGAAGTAAACGCAAAACCGGAGAACAAACAGAGCAGATAAGTTTTAGTGCGAGACGCGACTGTTTCAACATCTCGCTGCATTAATATAGGGAGATCGCAATTTAATTTTCGAAAATATGCGAAAATACCCCCATATCGTATCATATCAAACCTCAGACGCTGAAAAATTCGCCCAATTTTTTAATTTTTCTAGTTGAACAAAAAAAGTTCAAGCAGTGCCCCGCTCTGTAGCGGCACAGAAATAGAATTTTATAATTACTCATTGTAACCAACCGAAATTTAAATTGACGGTATAAATGACGTTTATTTTATTCATATTTAAATGAATAGTAACTAATCACAGTTCACAGAGTAGTTAAAATTGGACGAAAGATTACTCACAGGTTAAAGTCGCCGTTTATAATGTTTATGTCTAATCTCCCTTATTTGTTTTGTAGCAGTCTTAAAAAAAATATATTTTAAGGATAAAATTAAACTTCAAAACTGTCATTTAGCTTTTAAAAATAAACTCCCTATATTTCGTTCTGTTTAAACCCCCTTGATATTGTGACTCAGAAGTACGCAGATGTCAGAGTCGGGAAAACGGCTCGAATATTCGACCTCTATCGCTATCAGGCTATAAAAGTATAGTTGACCCGTCTCAAAACAGGAACCGTGTAGCGAGAAAATATAAATAGTATTAGTGATGTGCCGAGTCGCTGTTTCGGTGAATCGAGTCGACTCGAGTCAGTTTATATGGTACTCGAATCATGATTCGAGTCCAGTACTCGAATTCTATGTTTAGTATTCGAATATGACTCGAGTTGGGGCGGACTAGAGTCTGGAAATTCGAGTCCAGCATTCGAGTCCAAAATTCGACTCTGGAAATTCTAGTCCAGAGGGTTAAGCATTGACACAATAATAATGGGTAAATCAATATTTTTAATGAAAGATAATTATAAACATTAAATAAAAACAAAGAGCATAGGAATTCCAAGGAGATAATTAGAAAAACATGGAAAATAATTAAAAAATTTCTCAACTTAGAGTCTAGATAATATTCTATTAATTTGAGACAGCTTTAAACAATTCTTTTAATACTAGATATAGAAAGCATTATAATCAAATCTTTTTTTAACTTTACATTAAGTAGGCACACACACTAGATGACAGTAGAGATCTATTAGGTACCTGGAATTGAGCTTGATATTCCTATGTTTCCAACATCATCAACTCGTCAATAACAAATTTTTGAGAATCTGCATTTGTCTCGACGCCAAAACCAGCTTTTTTAAATCTTGGATCCATGAATGTTGCTTCAGCAGCAGTTTTATTGATCTCATGTCCGCCAAATCTTCTATCGAAAACATCCAGTAATTTTATGTTTAACCTGCTGGCGGCTTCGGAATTGGAACTGCAACTTCTTAGTGCCGTTTGTACTCCACGATTAAGAGGTATGATGCAGGATAACGTTGGATATTGCTCGCCAGATATAATACCAGTCATTTGTTCCGCAGGTTTTAAAACACAAAGGCACTCGTGCACCTCGATCCTCGTTAAGGTTATCCGGACAGCCAGGTAATGAAGAAATCGCAGCGGAAAGAGGTATCTTGACCTTATCGAGACGTTCGAGCATATAATACACTGAATTCCATCTTGTCAGGACATCTAGCTTTAGTTTTAACCTGTTTTAATTTATATCCAGCATTATTGCTTCTTTTGAAATAGGCTACTATTGCTCGGCACTTTTCAATCAATTGAATTAATAGTTCATTGTTTTAGATGGTATCCTGAATCACCAAGTTCGATGTATGAGCTACACAACAGTGGTGACGCATTGTTAGTCGCGACGCAAATGATTTTGTACAAAATATTCCATTCGATTTCCAATATATCTTTCATTTCTCGAGCTAAATTTTCTGACTTATGGGCATCCTTAACTTGCCTGGTGGATAACGTTAAAGTTTTAGACTTGCCATCATAAATGAAATGAATTGTCAGGGTCATGTAGCTTTTGCTGCTATCGGAGGTCCACAAGTCTGTTGTCAAAGCAATGTAATCTGTCACTTTAAGCATCTCTCGCGTAGAATATTGCTCCGGAATTAATTTTTCCGAAAGAATCTTTCGCAAAGGTAGCTGATAATTAGGGTTAAGCGCGCGAGTATACTCTTGAAAACCTGTATTCTCAACGACTTCAAGAGGCTGAAAATCAACACACACCATTCTCAATAATGCTTTATCCACATTTTTAGAGTTCTTCTTCTGAGCTTGCTTAGACGGAAACGTCATCTGAAGTTGCCGTTTACGTGGTGGTGGTGTCTCCCCGTCTGTCAACTGGGATAGATTGGTGTTGTTGTCCTCGTGGACTGGTGTTCCATAGCCAGAACCAGAAGCTACACTTAATAAATCGGAATCACTTTGAGCAGAGGAGATAATTGAAGAATTGTCAATCTCAGTCGAGTAAATAATAGGATGAGAATTTTTTAGGTGCTTTAACAAATTAGTTGTGTTTTTCAAATCTTTAAACACAGAGTCACAGTTTTTGCACTTATTGCCGTCCACTTTCTCAAAACACTGAGGTATTTTTCGGCGCCATTCTATAGTAGATTAAACAATTAAATAAAGTCACTCTGAAATAACTGTTAACTAACACAAATCAAAGAAATCAAAACACAAAGTTGCAGGTTCAAACTTGCCCGCCGCGCCACTTCATTGCGTAAGTAAACTATTTACGAGTACGAACGAGTTGACCTAAAATGAGATATACTAAACCCTCTAGTCAGTTGGACCCGCATGAATAAAATCGAGTCTGCGAGTACGAATCGATCTTTCTGATTCGAGTCCGGCGTACTCGAATCAAAATAAAGTGGTATTCGAGTAGGCGAGTACAAAGCAGGGATCGAGTCAAACCGTACTCGGCACATCGCTAGTGTGTATATAGTTAGTGGCTGTTATTCTTTGGCGAAATAATTTTTAATTGAGTTTAAGTTTCACGCGGAATAACAACACTACCGCTCGCAACTTATAGCGATAAGAAAAAAATCCAGTTAAACCTTAAAATTTTTATCAAACAAATTCGTTATTTCAAATAACCATGTAATAAATTGTTTTTCCGATTCATTTCCAAAATCTGGTAGGTAGGGAGGAAATGATAAGACCAAAACATTACTGAACACGATTTTATATATATATAAAAAGTACGTGTCATCTTAAATCAGTAAAATCAATGTATGGACATGCGTTTCTCTATACAAATCGACCCAAAATATTTACAGCAACTTTTCAACTCACCTTTACCCTTAATTACGCAATACCGCAAAAGCTTTTGATTTTTGTATCAATACGGGCGTCACGTGCTTGTAAAAAAAACAGGATAAGGAACTTTTTAAAATATAAATCCAGACACACGCTGTGGTTTGATATAAAGTAAAATCACACCGCCCGCACCCACTATTTCGCACTCGGTACTTCTTTATGGTCATGTATACACGTTTTTGCACTTACTCTACACTCGATGAGTCTTTCGAAGCGCCCGGCCCGCCTAGTGCTCACCGTCCGGCTTTTTCTCCTCCTCTTCCTCCTCCTCCCAGTCGTCCATCAGTTTGGTCACGTGAGCCGGATCTCTCGCATCCGCGATCGGCGTTTGTTTCTCGGACTGCTGCGAATCCGTATCTTCCCAATCCTCCAATATCGTTTGGTTCACATTTCTCTGGCCTTTCGCCATCACCTCGCCGGGCGACTGCGGCTCCTCTTCCTCCTCTCCCTCTTCGTGAAACTCCTCTGCCGTTCCCTCCTCGTGAAACTCTTCCGCCGCTTCCTCCTCGTGAAACTGTTCCGCTGCTCCCTCCCCTTGAAGCTCCTCCGTCGCTTCCTCCTCTTGCAACTGCTCGCCCTCAATCTGAGCATCGACGCCCATGGCGCGTTGCTCCCCAGCCTCTTCAGTCTCCGGCTCGGATTGAGGCGTCAACAGATGATGAGGGGGTGGCGGAGGAGGAGGAGGAGGAGGTAGAGAGGGAGCGCCAGACTTTTCGGGCGGACAAATCTGCTTCTCCGAGTCAGGTTGCTCGTCGACGTGCTGTTGCTGCCGCTGCAAATCTTCCTCAACTCGAGCGTCCACCACGTCCTCGCCTGGCCGCTCTTCCGTTTCGCTGACCTCCATCGCCTCGATCGGCTGCTGAGTGGCGTCCGAGAACTCTAGTGTGTGCTCTTCCCCCGCCGGGTTCGCCTCTTCCTCGTCCACGTTCTGCTCGCTCTCGTGGTATTCCTCGTCAGGAAACGCGGAAGTATCGTTCAAGATGAGGTTCTCTTCCGGGCTCTGGTTCAGCATCACCAACTCCTTGTTGGTGTCCGAATCAGTCGCGACGGGAACGTTCTCGTTCGCACCTTCCGGTTCCGATTGCTCCACCGCTTGAGACGAACATCCGGGTCCAATTTCCTCTACCTCCATCGGTTCTTCTTGAACGGTATCCGCCACATCTTGGTCAACTACCTCCTTCCCCGCTTCCGTCTGGTCGGCGAAATGGTTTTCTTGTTCGGCCTGCTCGACTTGCTGAGGCGCCGGCGAGATCGGCAACTTCTGCTGTTGCCCCTCGTGGACGAGTTTCGACTTGGCGTGCATTTCCGTGTGATTTTCGATCTCCTTCCTGATCATCTCGATCGACTCCACTTGCGAATCGGTCGTGACCGGCTCGCTGACGATGATCTGACCGGCGGTGGTCGCGATGGCGGTACCGTTGTGGATCTCGAGCATGCCCGTCTGCGAGTTCACCATCAGGTTCCCCTGCGACGTAATGAACTGGCCCTGCTGACCCTCTACTGGGTGACTGTACAGCACGACTATGTTGGAGTTGTCCGGTTGACCGCGGTTCTGTTCCTCGTCCTGGTAATCGTGATCCGTGAGCACCATCACCAGTTCGTCGGTGGAGTTCAATTCTGCGTTTGCCGCTTGGAGCAGGGCTGAAACACGGAAACTCTCCGATAGACTAGACGGGCAAAATGGCCGAACGGATTGAGTTTGCACAACCTTCGTTCGACGCCAGTTCCGGCAAAATGTACTCCGGCTGACCCGTTTCGGTCGGCGGCTGCTGCAGGATGTACTGCTGGTTCTCGTCGAGCACCACGATGTCCACCAGGCCGGCTGGAAAACGGGAAACGCGCGTTTGGTCCGATCCCAGGGGACCGGTTTTTTCATTACCTAAATTTGACGCTATACTCTGGGGCACGTCGACGGAGCTGATGGGCGGAGCCGCTGCCGCGGCATTTTCCGCATTTTCCGTCTGCCCTTTCGGCGCCGTCGTCGCTGCAGCCTCCTCCGCCTCCGCCTCCTCCTCCTCCTCCTCTTCCTCCTCGCCGGCCTGCGCCCGTTCAGCAACCTTGACGTTGGAAATTATTTTAACCTGAAAGCATATTAAATTTCGCGAAAAGTTCAATAAAAAAAAATTTAAGATTATAAAAACGTTCGTTTATTTGAAACCGGTTTAGTTTAGTTTTAAAATCCTTCAGCGTTTTGGGCTCTCCATTTAAGTAGGCAGCGGATAAAGATTTTTATTTCCATTTATTCGGGAAACTTTTGTCCATAGTCTAGACCGGTGTTTCCCAACGTGGGGGCAATCGATAATCAATTTCAGAATACACTAGACACTTTCACTCCGGGCTATTAAAATGCAACGTTAAATATCGGTGGCAACACCATGACGTTAATTTTCTTTAACGTGATTTGGTTATCGCTATAAGCGGCTGCCCTCTTAGGGTGTAGTGAATACAACTCAATGCCTTCTTAGGGTCGCAAAAAACAAATGAATAGCCTCCGACGTAGAACATCCTGTACGAAAATCACACGGGTTATCCGCAAAAATATTGTTTTGCAAAAGTGCCAATTTGATCTAGTTAGAACATAAACAGTAACGAATTTTGCTATAAGTATATAGTTCTACTACTATCACTACCTTATCTTTGTGCTGCGCTTGCGCGTCCACGCCCCCACTCTCTTCCGCCTCCCGGTCGTTCTTGTCGGCACCCTGGACGTCGACATCTAAACTCTCGTGCAGGCTGATGATTCCGTCGTTCGCCGCCTCTTTGAGGTGCTGCACCTTGATGTGGGTGAACAGGCTCACCGACGACTGCATCTTCTTCATGCAGTACTGGCAGTCGAACATGTTTGCCGCTGCAAAAACCAGTTGAATTGCTCGCGCGAAGCGCCCCTTTTACCTTAACCGGGCAGTACCGTTTTTATTGAGGTGGCGCGTGATCTTGATATGGCTCATCAGCCGGCTTTTGTCCCTGAAGCAGAGCTTGCAATTGAGACACTGCACCTCGTCCTTTTGGTGGTTGGGGATGTGGAGGGTCATCCGTTCCGGCGAGATCGCTTGAAAATGGAAACGCGATATTAGGGTGGCGGAAGGGGACGAACGCGAGATGACGAACCTATGAAGGGACACTTGGGGCATTTCGAGAAGGTGATCGAGGCGGGCGGTTTCAGACCGTGCTTGGTGAAAAGGTGGAACGCCATCGTCACGTCGGTCGGGCAGTAATGACCGCAGTACTTGCACAGGGAACTGTCGAACTCCTCGTTGTGCACGTCGGTCATGTGCTTGCGGAATAAGTAATATAGGACGAATTCCGGTCGATCGCTGTCACCTTAAAGAGCGATGATACATGGGTGGGGGAGGGTTACCAAAGCGCGAATACTTAAAAATGGCTTAAGAGGGTAAAAAACACCTAGCAGTAGGACGAATTTATATATATATATATATATATATATATATATATATATATATATATATATATATATGTTTCTACGTGTGGCTGAATTGGTTGCTTTATGATTTTTTTGGACAGAATGGGCAAAATGTTTATTGGAGTTGATTAAAAGAGTCTGTGTTGCTTATTTTATTTAATAAACAATGGAACTCAACATAAAGATAAGACAGAATAAGGATAATTTAAAATAACTTAAGTGAAAAACTCGAAACCTAAGAACCATTTAATATTTTTATTGGAATTTTGTGTATTATTGATGAATTATAGTTATTTTATTAAACAGAACGCAATAAGTATTGGAATACAAAATGCACTAAATACTTGTTATACACTGAAAATTCCTTTTCTTACTGAATGGCATTAACTCTGTAAAACGCTTCCCGCGTGACTTCCTCCAATTCTGCTTTGGTTTAGAAAATTCTATCTTTAAATATCCCTCATAAAAAAAATCCAGAGGAGTTGGCACCACACAATTTCGAAGGCCACTGGTTCCAATCCAACATTGTCCAAACTCTTCATTTAATAGTTCACTTACAATCCTAGGGTCGGGAATTTGTCATATCATCTTTTCATAACTTTCATAAAGGAACAAGTTTATCATGACATAAAAACTGGTACAAATCATATACGAGTTTAAAAATGCGTACTTTGCCACAAAACGTTTAAAAAAGTCATGACCACTAATATGGAAAACAAAATTAAAACTCGAAGAAATACGACATAGGTGAACTTGACAGAATCACTTAAAACTTATCACTTAAAACAATACATAACAGGTTTACTACGGGTTTTCTAAGGAAACGTTCAACTATCTATCCTTTGGTCCGCCGGTTAATATTTTTCAAGACGTCATCTTTGCGAGTTCAAATGGAAAAAAATTTACCCCTAAACATATCGGCTTGGTACTGTTAGCCCATCATGCGGCCAAGTCAAAAATCCAACTTTGGACAAAGCACCCACATTTCACGAAACACAAATTTCAATAAATGAAACTATACTTGGAAACCTTAAGCTTTTGCCATATAATGTAAAATTGACGATCCCTAATGAGGTCCGTTCAAATAAAAAAATTCAAATTCAATGAAAAATTTCACATGTACTGATAACCGAAATAACATTAGAAGATGATACCTCAGTTCTAAACACCTGCCGATTTAAAAAAAGGTAGAGAGACATTTAATTTTCCGTTAAATGGGATTTTTTAATTTACGCAAAACATTTTAGGCGTAACGCGCCATTGTGTTCCTGCAAAGGAAAATTTATTCAATGTATGGGTCCCTGTAAATGTGTAAAATCAATATATAGCAATAAGCGAGACAAAAATGATCCCGGACCAACACTAAATATCTCTAATTTATCGGACACTGAAACAATTTCCTTCATAAATCGATAACCTATTATTTTTGCAGAAGATATACGCCAATATTAGATTGGAATGAGAAGAAGGGGTTTTTCGATTAACTTATTACTTCTACTTAACTTTAGATGTTATCATAGATATAATTTTAATTTTTATTGTGGCTTCTATGTACACGTAAGTATTATTATTTTAATATGAACTGTTGCCAACAAAATATAATATAAATAATTACTAATGTCAAATATAATAAAACAATATCATCCCTATATAAAAACTAATTAATAAAAAAATTCAACTATGAGAGCAACGATCCTAAGCCCAGGCCGGAACCGCTAAGTCGCAAATTCGACCCATTCTCGCTACTTCGCTGGCGGCCGTGATATGAAAAAGTAAAGGAATCGTTGATCTTCAATGCATATGGTTTATGGAAAACATTTTTTTGATAAACCAAATAGTTTTCAAGTTACAGCGAGGTAAACGATAACATAAAAATGTGTTTTCAGGGCAAACGTTTTTTAATTTAATTTAAACAAGAACAAGAAAAAGTGTTCTTTTAAAAACACTTTCTGAAAAAATGAACCTTTTTGATACCTACATTTATATGAACGTTTTTTTTTTTTTTTTGATTACTTATTTCGATCTGAGCGCTGAGACGTGTTTTTTGTTTTTTTAAGTGTGTGCGCAAGATATGGGACACAATTATTATTGCTCCTTGCAGTAGATACTTAAAATAAGTTTTTTTATTAATGAATGCTGATATTCTACCTTTGTTTCGATGTTGATTAAATTTATAAAGAGATTTAGGTTAAATGCAAAGAAAATCAGAATTACTAACTTTTAACAAAAATTTTTAAAAATGCGAAAAAGGCCATCCTTTTGATTCTAAATAACATTCGGAATTTGTTTGAAATACGGTTATCAGCATTTTTTACCTTACATGACCTACCCTGTATCCCGTAAAGTAAATAAACAATCAATCGGCTACGTTCCAATATAAGAATTTACTTACCGAAACATTTCATGCAGATCCAGGGACCATCGTCGGACACCTTTTTGACGTAGCTCTCCATTCTTTTTGGGATCGGCGGTGAGGCCGCGTTCTCCGCCTTATTTTCCTTAACATTTCTCGACTTTTCTTCGGCTTTGGGCTTGTTGTTAGGCACGGCGGCGGACGTTTTGGTGGCGGCGTCCGGCTTCGTCATTATCTTCAGCCGGATATTCTTGTTCTTCTTCATCAACCCCGGGTACTTTTTCAAAATCTCGGAAACGATTTTTGTGTGATCCAAATCGGCCGCGTTTTTTCCCTTGACGTTGATCGTCGTCTCCGTCGCATTTTCTTTTTCGCTCACTTTCACCCGTTTCGGGGATATTCTTGCGACCTGCTGCTCCGCTTTCCTCTTCTGATTTAACGACTGCTGGGCGGCGTCATCGTAAGCTACGTTGACCTTGTTCTCGGTGACGAGATCGTCGGAGATGGACTTTTGGCTGATTTCCACTCTGGATTCTTCGACTGAAGTACCTAAGCACGACGTTATGGAAAGGCCGCTTTTTAACTGTCTCCAACACACTTAGACACACCATAAACGGACACTTATGATTCCGCCAATTTTGTCCGCTATGGAAAGTGTCCATTCGAAGAACAGGACTGAGAATTTATAAGATATGTAACAGAATTTGTGAAAAATATCAAAAAACAAAAGTTCCCTGGAACAACTTATCCTTTTAAAATATTATACGAGGTGTGTTCAAAAAGTAAGGTGACTTGTAATTGGCCGGGCTACGCACATTCGATCTTCAATATATTTTTTTCTTATGTTGGTACCACATTTCCTTAACATATATTGACAGTTTCAGCTAGGTTGCGGGTTTACTTTTTTTGCGAGACAGAAACGTTAGACGTGTTTGTGTGCTCGGCGATTTTCTGCTGTCAATAAAAATAGAACAAAGAATTTGCATAAAACTTTGTGTAAAAAATGGAGTACAGTAAAACAGCAAAACACTTGAAATGTTGACAACAGCTTTGAGCAAAGCAAATCTTTATAAGTGGTAGAGATTGCTTTGATGCTTTGATAAAACTTAAGCCATTTTACTTTTTGACCACACCTTGTATTCCTATAGATTATAAGAGTATAATTTTCGTGGACCAGTAAATAAGTTCATATTTTCTTCCTCTACATATCTTACAAATCTCACCGTCTTTGACGTATTTTAAATTTTATCTTTTCACTTTAGTGGTCTGTGTTGTGTTGATATTTTAAAAACAAGTACATACACCTCTATATTATAATTTATCGTATTCAACGTTTAAAAAAAGTGTGACTTTGTAACGATTGTCTATTTGAAGAAGTTTGAACAGTCGGGCACCACAGAAAAATCACTATTTCGACTTGCCGTTGGTTTGGTTTGTTTCTGAGATTTTGCATTATATTACGCAAAAACTTTGCACTTTTTTCAAAAAAGTGTTTGGTTTCATACAAAAATGTTCTTCGGATCATAATAATGTTATTCCAAGCACTAAAGAGGTTTTTATTTTTGTTCAATGGTATTATTTGTTTTTTTCGAAAAACTCATTCCCATCAATATCAAATAAATTTTTGAAGTGGGAACGGTGGGCCTAAAATCCGGTGCATATTAAAAAAAACTTACCCGCGCGCTGCTGCTCCTCCTCTTTTGTCCAAAGCGGTTTGCTGGTCAAAGATATATCGTCGAAACTGCTGTCCATCAAGTTCATGGGTGGCAAATCGTCGTCGGGCCACTCGAATCTGGTCGGTTTGGGCACGTTATCCGAGAAGTCTTTCGCGGGAGGTGCGGCCGACCACTTGGACTCAGGCACGGAAGCAGATCCCGAATGAGAAATCGCCTGGACGCTGGCTTGCACAGCCCTCCGTTTCAGGGAGGTGGTGGTAAATTTACGAGCCACTGGTGCCGGCGAAGCCGCCGGTGGCGTCGGCATCTCTGGCGGGGGGGTGCTTCTCGCAGAAATCAACTTTTTCGCTGGAAACCGTAACCACGTGACACCTCCGCGTCGCTCGACTGAGACATTTTTTACCTTGGGAATTCCATAGCGCGGGCGAATCGCTTTTCTTTTTAATAGAGCTCAACTGAGCCTCCAGCAGCTTAGTAAGGATCGCGATGTTCATCATTTCGGCCGCCTTGTAAAGCCTGTCAAATAGAGAGGGATGGTATTCCAACATTCCCGTATACATGAAGTTCACGATGGGCACGATAACTTCCGCTTGCAAATCGCTCGGCATCATTATTGTGTTTTCGCCTAGCGCGGGGCACGTTTGTTCCAAAAAAGAAAAGTATTCGGTGCACGCGTTCATCACTAGCCTGTGCACTTTGAGCTGCACATTGCCTTCAAATTGTAGGGTTAGGTCGCAGTAATCCGTTTTGCTAAAAAACAACTGAAGGCGCTGAAGAAAATAGATGCCCCAGTTGTCGACCCTCACTTGTTTTGTGGTCTCAACCATTTTCACGAACCGCCCGAACTGCAACAAGGCATGACGATAACGTACGCTAAAAACGACATTAACGTAAACACGTCCAATAAAAACAAAACAATGACAGTGGAAGCCAACTTTAGCGGCATTTCAGGAGCATGGCGTTCCATCAATTTCCAAATGGGCCCTAGGTCCCGCGACTACCTGCCGCAACCGCGTACACCAAAGACGGTAAAAACTGCACGTTATCATCGGATTTAATTTAAATTTACTGACCTTTTCTTTCTTATTAAAATGTTAGCTCCATCTTGAATACGAGCTTCCAAACTTATCGAACTATCGACGTTTTACGTTGACGGTGCTCCCTGCAGGTGGCGCCATCGTCGGCCCGGCAAATTCGAAATATTTCTCCCATTTCTGATTTATTAAACGGCCCTGGGCTTTCGTGCAATATAAATGAACCCCCAGCGAGTAACTTGGTATAATTATCATGAACAGAACTGTTTCCAAGTGAAAATTTTAGAAACCAGTGTACCGCACAAAGCCTCATCCGGTGGGGAGTTTCCTAATCCGGTTTAAGTGTTTCCGAATTATCGTGAATTATTGTGTCGTTGGCAGCAATGAACAGGCGTGCCTTGTTCGTTGTTGGCGTATGTGGCAGAGGACTCTTATGACAAAATTCGATCGAATCGGTACAGAGTTCTACTTTCTTGACACATATCAACTTAATTCTTGGTACCTCAATTTTTACATTTCATAACTGTAGGAATTTATTGTAGGTGGTGCATGGCACTTGCATTTCTTAAAACTAATTTTATTTTATTGTTAAGTAGTGCATTTTAAAAACTTGGCAAAGCGAACGCATTAATAAGCAGAAAATTAAAATAAAGTAGTAGTCAATATATTTATAACGCAAATTTAATATAATTGTTTGACTGATACCGCTATTACTTTTGTGGCCATAAAACACACTGAAAAAGAGTGAACGAAGAAGAATCCACAAAATATCCTAACAAATTGGAGTTTGAGCCGGTTATTTTTAAATTAAATTGGGCTCTGCTTTTTCGTTTTCTTTCATTTTTCCCGTGTGCTTTTTAGGTTATCAAGTCCTTTCAGCGAAATTATGGAAAACTTGGACGTTTTTCTAATTTTTCTTTCAGTGCGAATTCTTTCCGTTTTCTGTATACAATCATTTTTTGTACCGGACGAATACTGGCAATCATTGGAAGTAGCACATAAACTAGTCTTTGGATATGGTTATCTCACTTGGGAATGGGTTTTGGGCATACGGAGTTACATACATCCCCTATTAGTAGCGATATTTTACAAGTCCCTTTATTTGTTTGGCTTAGATTCGGCTTTTTTCTTGGTGCAGTTCTAATCTTATTGTGCTCATAGACATGGTCTGAAACATATTTCGTGTTTCAGATATCTGGACCGAGATTACTACAAGCTGTCCTTAGCTCCTATGCAGACTTGTGTTTTTATAGATGGTCAGGGACAAAGAACTGGGCAGTTTTTAGTATATCCAGTTCATGGTTTCTATTTTATACCGCGTCTCGAACACTTATTAACAGTTTTGAATGTTCTCTAAGCACCATTGCCTTGTCAAAATATCCCTGGGTGAAGAAAGACATAAGTATATTATTAGTAGTTATTTAATTTAATGGTGGTTTAACGACAGCTCTCTTTTTGTAGAGGAGAGCTGTACTTTTATTTGGATAGTGACCCTACTTTTTATGATTCGACCCACCAGCGCGGTAATATGGCTTCCATTGTGCCTTTTCCATTTAAGTATCTCTGAAAAAAGTGGTGTAAGGCTAATGGTAACCAGATATATTCCGATTGGGTAAGTTCAGCAACAAGTTTTTGATTTTGTCGCTCGCCATCAGATGAGGTTTTCAATTTTCAACTGTTGCAGGGTTTTTGTAGTGATGTTGGTAGTGCTGATAGACAGTCTGGCTCATGGTTCCTTTATTGTATCACCCTATAATTTTTTCAAAATCAACATTTTTCAAAATATTGCTTCAAACTATGGAGAGCAGCCTTGGCATTGGTACTTGTCCTGCGGTATTCCGGCCATCTTGGGCATTCAAATCTTGCCTTTTGCCATGGCCGTGTCGGTGGTCATAAAAAATAGACATAGTCATATCAATGAGCTGGTAATGCTAGTAACGATTGTTTTTTCCGTGTTTGTGTTTAGTTTCATAAACCATAAAGAGTTTAGATTTTTATTACCTCTATTACCGATAATGCTGTATATATCTTCGAGATTTTTATCAGCTTGGAGCCGAAAGGCTAACGTGTAAGTATGTATACCTGTGAAATTACTGAGCCTAAAGTAACACACTGTTTAGTTGGTCCGTTTGGCTTGTATCGGCTATCATATTCTTGGGCAATGTGGTTCCCACGTGGTACTTGGGCTTTGTGCACCAAAGGGGCACTTTGGAGGTTATGGATGGCTTAAGGGACATTGCCAACAAGGATCCTAACAATAGCAGTTTTCTATTCTTAATGCCTTGTCATTCGACGCCATTGTACAGCCATTTACACGTTAACGTTACCACTAGATTTTTGACTTGCAACCCAAACATTAACGAAGTACATGGCTATGTTGACGAAACTGACTACTTTTACAAAAATCCAAACGGTTGGTTGCGACAGAACTATCCACCTAAAGAACCGCTTCCATCTCATATTATTTGCTTCGATAATCTGCTGCCCATAATAGGAGGCGATATTCTGACCAGGTAGGAACAGTTTTGTTGTATATATCCACAATATGCGGTCAATAGGTTATAAATATAAGTTTTATTTTTTTAGATACAAAAGGATAAAACAAATTTTCCATTGCAACATACCGGTATCTTCCAGAATAGGAAGGTTCGTTTTGGTTTACGAGAGGCTCGATTTGTAGTCAATTTTGGAGGTTAGAAAACATTTTGCTCATCTGTGTCTATTAAATATTGTAACAAAATCTAAATTACTTTGTAATAAACCCTATAAATGTCAAGCGGAAATAATATCTGCTTTTTTCAGATCAGAAATGATAAAAACGTATAACTACTAGCGGTCTGTTGTGCAGTTCCGCAAATAACGTCACAGACCATAGACAGTATTTTTTTATAAATGAAAATTTCATGCAAAAGCAACAAAATTCCTAAATTGGAAATCTAAGAAAAAGGAAATTCATTAAGTTTTTTTTTCATTTTTTCCAATATCTAGCACCCAGAAGCTTTTTTAATGCAGTTTCGAAAGAATTTTTTTTTAATTTGTTGTGATATTTTTGTATTAAGTGTTTTTAAAAATGTTGCTATATTCAATAAGGGAAAAATGACAAAAAAAAAACAAAGAAATGACCATGATTTATTACAACGGTTATTCCCCGCGTTGGTGCTAAATATTCGTTCATAAAAAAGTGACGTTCCTTCTGTGACACTCATATGTATATTTAATATTTTTACATTTGAACTTCATATCATATGCCATGAACTGAATTTAATATGTTTTTAAAATACACCTACCTCATTGTGTATGTGTTAAAAATAAATTGACCTGGTTTATTAATTTTATATTATTGTTAATTGAGAGCACTTTATAAAGTTGAATAAAATTATCGATGCACATAAAAACCCAATGCAATCGATTTATAAACAAACAACAGTGTTAACATTTAGACCTTTGATAAACGCGACTATGTATGCACATCGTTGTTGATTGGTAGCAACGATTTTTAGAAACCGATTTTTGAAGGAAACAAAATATTCGTTAAACGTTAAAACAAACGCGTTTTGGGCGTTTTTCTTCGTCGATCTGGTGGGGATAGCCGGCTTGGGACTATACAAAATTACACTTTTGTCCTTCACCTCGCAGTCTGCAGAAGATTACCCATCAGAAATCACGACACATATACAAGGTGAGTGGGTTTGTGGTAACGTCTAATTAATGTTGTGGGCTTGAGCGGTTTTTATTTTGACCGTTAATTTCTGGGCGGCTATATAAATCTAATATAAAGTTTAGTAGGTCCTATGGAAAAAATTTGCAATTTTTCAAAAGGAATGGTTGGAATTTTCATTCACAGAGGGCGACTCGGGTTTGTTTGTACCGTCACGATCTGGTTGTATTTGTATAAGGACAAGGGGTGAAGATTCATAAAGTAACTTTGCGCAGTGGCGATATCGTAACCAATGAGGTTCTTCCGAGGTGCGATTATTGCTAGTTGAAAACTTTAACCAATACCCCGCCAAGTGTACGTGAAAAACCGTGCACTACGGCAATTTTTGGTAGTCTCCGAGGAGGCTTGTAATAAAATTTTAAATATAACGAAAAACTTCGGTTATGTGTAAACGTTTTGCCCGACGAATTGGCAAGTTTTTGATGTTTTAGAAGACTGATTCATTGAGTTGTCAATCGCGATTGATTCGGATCACTTTGATTCAATCACTTCATAGGATCGAACGATCGAATCCCGTTGTTCGTAACGATTCGATCACCTTGTTCGCTCTCGCTGCCGCCCTGACCGGTCTGAAGTGACTGAATACAGGACGACCGATCGACCGACAGTATCAAAATAAACGAATTCGCTAGAATACGATTCATTTGAATAGTTTAAGATTTAAATGCATGACAGACAGGTCACGGGAAAGGAATGGAAGTATTGTTATAATTATTCTATAGTAGTTGCGACATCGATTGGTAGATTTACTTGTGTTGAATTGAATATTGAAATATCTATTTCCACACAGGTATTTAGTTTAAACAAATTAATGTGTCACTGGTACAACCGAATACGTGACGCTTATTTTGATAAAATCATGATTCAATAAAAACCACAACACAGCCAACTATTAACTAGAACAGAAAACGACATATAGACACAATAATTCAAATGAATTTTGAATCGTCGTTAAGACTGGTTTCAGTGGGTACTGCCGCTTATGTTAGCATCAAAAAGTATTGAAATGGGTCTTTTTCAAATGGCCAGATATTGTCCTAAATGTACGAAAGTTGAAGAGTTGCAGTTAATTAAATTACAAGCCTCCTCGGAGACTATCAAAAATTGCCGTAGCGCACGGTTTTTCACGTGCACATGGCGGGGTATTGGTTAAAGTTTTCAACTAGCAATAATCGCACCTCGGATAAACCTCATCGGTTACGATATCGCCACTGCGCAAAGCTAAAGAATTGGCGTTTTACATGTTCCTTTATATTGTTGCTCGCGTGTGAGAGCAGTGTTTCGATCTGTACGGCCATCTATCGTGGGACAAGGGGACTCGCTGTACCGCAAGGAGCGAGTGGTTAAACGCAGATGGCGCTGCATGCAATTTTTTTTAATAAAATTAACGGCAATCGGTATATTTTATTCATCCACAGCAGGACTCAAACGTTTGTGGGAGCTGATTCACCTATTTTTATAATGCATTAAAACTTATATTTCCGTGAAATTGTGTAGGATAATAACAGCAATCCCCGCGAAATAAATACGTCGGTTATGACCTTAACGCTGATTTTAACGAGCTGGTGGAAACGTTTCCAATACCCATTTTCTATCTTAGAAAATATTGTTGTATTTGCATAAATTTTCTACCCAACCGTTTTAAGCTGTTGTGTCGACGATTTTGTGGTTTTGCGGTATTGTTGAAATTTTTACAACCAGAATTCGCTACTTTGTTGGAAATTATAATCTTCCATTTTGGCGCTTTAGTTCAGTGGCCACACGTTCGCTCTACATTTGGAATTTCCCGCGTTTTGTTCATTTGTTTATGTGGTTCTTCATGAGAGTTTTTATTATAGTCGACGCAGTTGCCACTTTAGTGTTTTGTTTCGAATTTTGCAAAGACGCGTCCACTCCCTGTTGACAAAATAGCGCGGAAGGTTCTGGGGAAAATCTGCAATAAAACCTGTGGTTTGCGAAACCGGTTACTGTATATTTAAAACCGGCGAAGCGTCTTTAACAATTTATTCCGTGTGTGGTGTTATTCCGGTTTGTGGATTTTGTGGTGAGTCCGTTTTAAACGTCACGAAACGTCTTTAGCGTTACTGCTTTGGGGAGTTTCACTGCAATGAGGGTCCTTTCTGTTTCCAGACACGACAAAATGAAAATTGCGCTGGTAGTTTTGACCGCGATGGCGGCCAGCGTGTGCTCCGAAACGGCAGTGGAGGAATTTGCTGCCGGTAACCTCAAATTTACCGCACAGCTTTACAAGGTTAGTGAAAATTAGATATATAGTCGTCCCAAACAATGCTTGGTCTACCATCGATGTCGGTAAAACAGCGGATTGTATTATCGACGCATAAGACGTGTAGATTTTGTAAGTCGCAGAAAGGTCGATGATGATGCGTCGCGCACAAAATATAGCGGAACGAAATAGAAACAATTTATTTAGAACCGTTATTCACAAATAGGGTGAGAAAAAGGGACGACTTATGTAGCGAATATCGTTGGGATAATTGTGCACGAGGGGATCGTAGCCGAATTGAAGGGGGTTGGGGTAGACAACGGCCTTTTTAGTCTCGCAAACCGTGTCTTTGATCATGACGTCGACGGGTGCGAAAAATACCCTAAAGTTCGTGTCGTTGTAGTCGAGGCCGCCTAGCAGGAAATCGGGCATCTTGTCCGACATTACCCACAGCAAATTGTCTCGGTCCACCTGAAATTAAGAGCGTATTGGTTGGATTCCGTGTTTTTCTTACGAAATGTCGTAAAATATGAAATTTGAAAATTCTTGAAAATAATGTAATTTTTTATGAAATATCGTAAAAAAGGTGTAAGTTTGCAAACTAAACGAAACGTGATGGTGCAAACCGTGCATCTGTTGCCGTTTCGGAGTTTTTGGAAAATGCGCATTTTAAAAAAATCGCTGGAACTTTTTTCCTATGGGAAATTTTGTGTTTTTATGAAAAGGCTACCAAATCACACAGAATTCAAGAGCTTAAGTATAATGTTTTTCTAACCAATAGTAGAGAAAAATTAATAGCTAGCCGTGTATATTTTTATATCGTCGCAAGCACTGGTAGTTGTTAAATTGTGGTTTTGGCTTTTATTGCGTCGAGTTTTAATTTAGTTCTTCAAAAAAATCGGATAATATAGTTAGTTTACTGTATAAAAACCGAGAAGAATGAAGACACATTGAATGATTTGATCGATATACAGAGAGAAAGCGACCTCTTAAAGTCATTTTCAGAAGATTACGTCCCAATTAAATGACGACCAAAAAAACATACATCAACTCCCTATCAGTTTCAACAATAGTGATTTTCTATCTTGAAGAAGACTCAAGCGAAATATCAAATGTGTTATAATAATTAGATTCTTTTGAATAACTGAAAAGTTCCATATCAAAATATAACTGTTATAACTATTTAGTAATTTCAAACGTAAAAATTTGCTATAAAGGTGTGATTTAAAGTAAAGTTTTTGAGATGTCAAAGTTTTATTTTTGTTTTTGATTTTTGTGTATGATTTCCTAAATAATGCCTCTTACTAGTACATATCTCTTCTTGCTTTTAGACGCTCATGACTTTTTGTACCACCCTGTATTATATTTTTGGTAAAAAAGGGTCCTTTTATTAGGAACAAGTGCAGCCGTTTTCGAAATTTTGAAGGGTCCTTTTATTAGGAACAAGTGCAGCCGTTTTCGAAATTTTGATTTGAAATACTTGATGTATCCTTCAAAAAAGTGAAATAATTTGGTAAAATACCTTTTTTTATACTTTAAACAGACGAACAAAAAAAAATCGGGGAATGTCCACCTCCAATAGTAAAAATGGGAGATTAAGCCTTTTACCTCAAACCTACTCAAAACTATTGCAGGAATAGTTTCAAAATTATCATATTTCGACCATTAAAAACTGCGGGCGTGCAGGAAAATCGTTTTTTTCTCTCACTTTGACGTCGCAAGGGAATATCAGCTGTTCGACGTCTTCGTCGACGACCGCTATGTTCTTCGGCTCGTAGCTGTTCCGGGTATTCCAGCAGCCGATCGCGTTCCGATCGATCAGATTGAAAAACTGCACCCCATTGGCGGTCATCACCCTCGCGGTGGTGTGACCGTTCGGTCCCCTCTCCTCCAAATGATAGAAATCGTGGTAGCTGTCTTCTACTCGCGAAGAATTGCGCAGGATTTCGGTGGATACCGCGAACTCGCGCTCGCTGGCCAACGGGCTGAAATATAAAATGCGGAAGCCGTTCTTTCGCGCCGGCGACAGGCTCATGCCGAAGATGCCCTCCTCGCCCCATTGGAAGTTGCGTCCGTTGATGGTGAAGTCGCCTGAAACGTGATAAAATCAATCGGGTCTTAATATGTACGGCCGGTTTCATAAAAAAGTGATGGCACTCTTAAATCACTTTTTTTCAAACCTTGCCACCATGTGATACAAACTTCATTGCTTTCATATTTCTAATATTGTCACTGTCAAATAAAAAAAATACTATGCGATGTAAGCAGAAAAGGTGGAGGTTAGTTTAAGCAGATCAGGCGCCCTTTCCAAAGCGCCCAGAATGCAAGAATTCTATCAGAATTTCCGGACAGTAAGACCACAGTGCTGTGCTGGCAAAAAAGACCGCACTCACTCCCCAACAGAAGCAAGCACGGCTTATTTTCGCTTTTAACTGTCCAGCCCAAGAACGGTAGTTTTGGGATAGAGACACATTTTCCGATGAAAAGATCTTCCAAAAAGTGTGAAATCAAAGTGTACAGACCAGACAACTAGCGTTACAACTATGTCAGTGGAAATATACAGGGGAATGAGAGTGGTATGGCAGATTGCGAGAAGATTTGTTAGTCAAAAACCTATGCCGAAACAAGACAACTGTCGTGTTCACACTGCAAACGTCGTTACACAATAGATACGAAATGCCAAGTAACAGTTTTGACATCAACCCGATCGAAAACATATGGGGGAACGGCTGTATCGAAAAAAAATTATGCCTCGAAACAGCGAGGAGGTATGGCAAGGTATTCAGGAAGTATGGGAAGAATTGCCGCATGAAGAAAACTCTATAACTCCTTTCATGACCAAGCTGCGATCGATACTGATCGACATTGCACAAAACATTAAATTCTTCTTGTTCTGTTTATATTAAAATGTTGGGCCCCTGCTTTTTATTACTTAAAATGTTTGCATAAACCTGCCTTTAGATCGTCTACTTTTTGAAAGTAATATTCGCTATTCTCGCCCACTAAACTCTTTTTCTCCTAGTGTCATATATTTTGTTTTTAGTTCATTAATTTTCAAACCAGTTTCTTCGGATTCTTCATTCTAGATTCCTCCTTATTCTGGCCAAGATCATAATAATAATCATAAAAAAATTTCAGAAACGTGCGGAATAGTAGACAAGTATTTACCTTTTTCTTAGCAAATCTCGTAAGAAATAGTATAAACCATGGGTGGGCAAAAGCCGGCCCTTTTGCTAATTTTATCCGGCCCGTTGAAAAATTCCGCACGCAAATTTTTTTAAACTCTTTTATGAGATTTTGTTGACATCAACATTATTAGTGTGCGTACTGCATATATAATAGGCGTAATATAGAGAAATCTACCACAAAAGCAAGTTATGTTGTCGCACACAAAATTGCTAAGTTCTGTAAGCCGTTTTCTGAAGCAGAATTTGTTAAACAATGCATGGTATAAGTGTCGGAGATATGTTGTCCTGAAAAGAAACATATTTTTGAAAATGTAAGCCTTTCGAGAAGAACAATAGCACGACGGATTGAAAATATTTCATTAAACTTACTTGACCAGCTAAGAACAAAAATTGCTGATTTTACCTATTGTTCTCTGGCTTTAGATGAGTCCTCCGATGTTACTGATACAAGTCAATTATTAATATTTATTCGCGGCATTAACAAAAAATGTGAAATTAGCGAGGAACTTCTTAGTGTGCATCCAATGAAAGATACAACTACTGGTGAAGACTTCTTTCTCGCTGTTGAAGAGTGTTTAGTTAAAGTAAGTTTAACATGGAATAAAATAGTAAGCGTCACTACGGGTGGTTGTCCTAGTTTAACAGGGAAAAATGTAGGCTTAGTTAAACGAATTCGCGACAAAGTAAAAGAGTTACAACCAGAACACGATATATTATTTTTGCACTGCATTATTCATCAAGAAGTGCTATGCAGAAAAGTTTTGAAATTGAATCACGTCGTTACTGTTGTGACCAAAGTTGTGAATTTTATCCGAGGACGTGCCGTAAATCATCGACAGTTTGTTGAATTTTTGAAAGAAATTGAAAGTGACTTCTACGAAATTCCTTATTACACTGAAGCTTTGGACAGATTTCAATATTTGCTTGATGAAATAGTATATATATATATATATATATATATATATATATATATATATATATATATATATATATATATATATATATATATATATATATATATATATATATATATATATGTATATATACTATTTCATCAAGCAAATATTGAAATCTGTCCAAAACTTTACCAATGCTAAGCCATCTCACTTCAATGTAATAAGGAATTTCGTAGAAGTCACTTTCAATTTCTTTCAAAAATTCAACAAACTGTCGATGATTTACGGCACGTCCTCGGATAAAATTCACAACTTTGGTCACAACAGTAACGACGTGATTCAATTTCAAAACTTTTCTGCATAGCACTTCTTGATGAATAATGCAGTGCAAAAATAATATATCGTGTTCTGGTTGTAACTCTTTTACTTTGTCGCGAATTCGTTTAACTAAGCCTACATTTTTCCCTGTTAAACTAGGACAACCACCCGTAGTGACGCTTACTATTTTATTCCATGTTAAACTTACTTTAACTAAACACTCTTCAACAGCGAGAAAGAAGTCTTCACCAGTAGTTGTATCTTTCATTGGATGCACACTAAGAAGTTCCTCGCTAATTTCACATTTTTTGTTAATGCCGCGAATAAATATTAATAATTGACTTGTATCAGTAACATCGGAGGACTCATCTAAAGCCAGAGAACAATAGGTAAAATCAGCAATTTTTGTTCTTAGCTGGTCAAGTAAGTTTAATGAAATATTTTCAATCCGTCGTGCTATTGTTCTTCTCGAAAGGCTTACATTTTCAAAAATATGTTTCTTTTCAGGACAACATATCTCCGACACTTGTACCATGCATTGTTTAACAAATTCTGCTTCAGAAAACGGCTTACAGAACTTAGCAATTTTGTGTGCGACAACATAACTTGCTTTTGTGGTACATTTCTCTATATTACTTTGTTTGGTAAAAATATTTTGTTGCTTATTCAAGTTTTCTGCTACAGTTTGAAGTTCTTTTAAAGAAAGTGATGCATATTTTGGATGTTTTGTTGTAAAGTGCCTGTTTAAATTGTATTCTTTGAAAACAGCAAATATATATATATATATATATATATATATATATATATATATATATATATATATATATATATATATATATATATATATATATATATATATATATATATATATATATATATTATATATATATATATATAGTACATGATTTTCCTGAATTGCAAAATAAGGCTTGACAACGATTTCTCGTTTTCAGTAGATATCGTAAAATATTTGAATGAACTAAATATAAATCTACAACGGAAAAACCAATTCGCTTTCAATATGCACTCAAACGTCGAAGCATTTATGACAAAACTCAATTTATTTGCTGAAAACTTTAATAATAAATTATTAAATCATTTCCCCTCATTGCAAGCTCGGCGAGAATCATTGAAAAATACAGATTTTTTTAAATATAGTGCAATAACACAAGACCTGCATTCCGAATTCCAAAGAAGATTTCAAGATTTCAAAGCTATTGAAAAACCTTTATCATTAATTAGCCAACCTTTCAATTTCGATGTGCAAGAAGCTCCTGTTGGAATTCAACTAGAACTAATTGACTTACAATCAAATAATTTACTAAAAGAAAATTTTCACTCAAACGAATTGAGTGCTTTCTATGGCGCTTTGAATAACGAACATTTCAAACATGTTTTGAACTATGTTCGAAAATACCTTGTTTTATTTGGTTCGACATATATTTGTGAAAGAACTTTTTCGTTAATGGTTTCCACGAAAAATAAATATCGATCACAAATTACTGACGAAAATCTACACTCGGTATTAAGGATTGCTACAAGTGATTTGGAACCCAATTTTGAAGAAATAATGTCAGATGAACATTCGAGGTTTCACGTTTCGCATTAACTTTAAATATTTATTTTAACGTTTGATGTTTTTCTTTTCTTTTTTGAATTATATTTATATATTATAATATAATAATATAAATGTTAAATTGTAATAACTATGTGTCAATATAAAATAATTTGTATCGTTAAGACATAAATAAGTAACAAAATAAAATCTTTCATTGCAGAAGTGGTTTTTACTCTCATATGTTTTTAAAATTTGGAATTTCGATAAGTTCAAACTTTTTTATAGGAAACCACACTTATTCACAAAATTTGTATTCATAATACAAATCAGGTCATCGAGTCAGGGCTCATGGCTTGGTTACACATTGATTTTATTGTTCGATAACGCCTGCCCGTCCCCTGCACTTTCATTTCCTTCAGGTCGTTTTGAACAGCTTGAATCCATTTTAAATAATTACATTTTTCTACTTTTTCAAAGTAATATTAGCTATTCTCGCCCACTAAACTCTTTTTCTCCTAATATTTTGTTTTGGGTACATTAATTTTCAAACCAACTAGATTCTCCCTTGTTCTGGCCAAGATCGTAATAATATTCATAATAAATTTGCAGAAAAGTGTGAAATAGTAAACAAATATCCAAACTTTACAAAATTCACTAAAAAAAAAAGCGTCAATTCTGAAAAAGTTGTTTGTTTTTTTACAAAATTTACACGTTTTTGCAAAATTTCGTCAGAAGAGTGTAAATTTTAGGTTCTAGGTAAATTTTTTTTTTCTCGAAATTTTTGCAAAAAAGTGTTAATCGCTTTTAAAAATTTACGCGATTATATAAAAAAGAAGGACAAAAAATACTATTTCCTACGAAAACAAAAAAAACTAACCAAAAAAATAGAATCTGTTCCTTTCCTACTTTTTCAATACATCCTTCGAAAAATTTTTTTAGATTTTTCAATTTTTTAAAAATAATTTCACTGTAGACGTGTTAATAGTAGTTTATGGGTGACTTGTAGTAATCAGAAGTAGTTTTTAATTTCCGATCATATCTGTACCTTTGAGGGGGTCGGGCATGAAGTAGCTGTGCTCGAACCTCCAGGACTTGTTGTCGGCGTACGAGTAAACAACGAGGCCGTAGCCCAGCTCGTCGCTGAAGTATGCATAAGCGTCGTCGCAGGTTCGACCCACTTCTACGGCGATGTTCGCTATAAAAGTCCGACTGTTGGTGTCTTCGGGTCGAAACTCGTATCTTCTGATCCTACGGTCGGTTCTCAAATCGAACACGTTGACGGCGTAGGGGCACGGGTTTTGGGTGGTTTTTTCGATGCCGAAGGTGCCGGTGTCCAACACCCACAGTCTGTCGCATTCGTCCACGTGGATACGGTACACCGTGGACAGACCGTTACGACAGTCGCCCAGCTCGTTCGATTCCATATCGGGGTACGGGATGAGGGGAGGGTCTTTGACTGTCGCGTGCAGGGGTACGTAGTTCAGCGTCGACGGTATACCTAATAAAAAAAAATAGATAAAAATAATTCACGCGTCATTACGAAAACCAAAAAAGATAATCTTGAAAAAAATGTAAATTTTGTTCAAAATTTACGAAATTTCACGAAAGGCTGTGAACCAAGATTATCATAGAAAGGTGCAATCACCTGACTAGATATAGTTATCGATATCTTGATAAAAGTGTAAATTTTGTAAAAAATGTATGAATTTTCACGAAAAATCGGTGAACCATGATTTCGAAAAAAAAAGCTAGAAGATGGACAAATAATTTTTTGTACTCCCTTCTCTAAAATGAACAATTATACACCGATCTAGCGTTTTTCATTTTCGGATCACAAATTGATTTTTGCGGATGTTGAGTTGAGTGCGCGTAGAGATCGAGTGGAGCCAACTAGGTGCAGAGACTTTAAAAATGTAGATATTATCTCCTTGGATAATTCCCTAAAATCTATACCTTGGCGGAATATGTTTGACTTAAATTCTATTGATGAAAAAGTATCTTTCTTTAATGAAAATATTAACATTCTACTGGATGCTTATGCCCCTTTCAAAACAGTCACCTTTAAAAAGAAACACTTACCTTGGATCATAGAAAATACTGTTTCTAATAAAATTAAGAAATAAAGCAAAATTTAAGTACAAAAATAAAAAAAACACCTGAAAATCAGGCCCGTTATAGGGAGCTCAGAAACTTTACTAACAAAGTGATCCACTGCGAGAAAAAAGCATATATAGAATATTCTTTAACGACAAAAAAGTATTTTGGAAATCTCTAAAAAATTTAAATGTGATAAAAAGTACAAACAACACTGGAAAAAAGATTCCTGACCAACTATCAGATTCAGATTTAATAAACAAATCTTTCATTAACTCCATTCCAATTTCAAATTCAATGTCGCCAATGATCGACTACTATAAGAACTCTCCTTATCCGCAAGATTGACAACCCGCAGTCGCTTAGCGACTTAAGGCCCATTTCCATTCTGCCAATATTATCCAAGGTTATAGAACGTGTCCTGAAAACCAAATAACAAATTATGTTGAAAAGGAGAAACTAATTGACAAAACACTAGCCGGTTTTAGGAGGGTTCACGGTTGCGCTACAGCGCTTCTTAATGTGACAGATGACATCATCAGAGGAATTGTAGGTAACTGCGCTGTGTTGGTTCTACTCCATCATTCTAAGGCTTTTGATACCATTAGTCACAATATTTTATTCACTATTCTTAAATACTTGGATTTTGGGGAGGCATCCGTAAATTTAATTAAAAACTACTTAACAGGAAGAAAGCAAAAGGTGGTCCTGAACGGGGTCGAGTCTGCTTGCCTAGACATAAGAAGTGGAGTTCCTCAAGGCTCTACTCGATTATTCTAAGGCTTTTGGTACCATTAGTCACAATGTTCTACTCACTATTCTTAAATACTTGGATTTTGGGGAGGCATCCGTAAATTTAATTAAAAACTACTTCACTGGGAGAAAGCAAAAGGTGGTCCTGAACGGGGTCGAGTCTGCTTGCCTAGACATAAGAAGTGGAGTTCCTCAAGGCTCTGCTCGATTATTCTATTATTCACTATTCTTAAATACTTGGATTTTGGGGAGGCATCCGTAAATTTAATTAAAAACTACTTAACAGGAAGAAAGCAAAAGGTGGTCCTGAACGGGGTCGAGTCTGCTTGCCTAGACATAAGAAGTGGAGTTCCTCAAGGCTCTACTCGATTATTCTAAGGCTTTTGATACCATTAGTCGCAATATTCTACTCACTATTCTTAAATACTTGGATTTTGGGGAGGCATCCGTAAATTTAATTAAAAACTACTTAACAGTGAGAAAGCAAAAGGTGGTCCTGAACGGGGTCGAGTCTGCTTGCCTAGACATAAGAAGTGGAGTTGCTCAAGGCTCTACTCGATTATTCTAAGGCTTTTGATACCATTAGTCATAATATTCTACTCACTATTCTTAAATACTTGGATTTTGGGGAGGCATCCGTAAATTTAATTTAAAACTACTTAACAGGGAGAAAGCAAAAGGTGGTCCTGAACGGGGTCGAGTCTGCTTGCCTAGACATAAGAAGTGGAGTTCCTCAAGGCTCTACTCGATTATTCTAAGGCTTTTGATACCATTAGTCACAATATTCTATTCACTATTCTTAAATACTTGGATTTTGGGGAGGCATCCGTAAATTTAATTAAAAACTACTTAACAGGGAGAAAGCAAAAGGTGGTCCTGAACGGGGTCGAGTCTGCTTGCCTAGACATAAGAAGTGGAGTTCCTCAAGGCTCTACTCGATTATTCTAAGGCTTTTGATACCATTAGTCACAATATTCTACTCACTATTCTTAAATACTTGGATTTTGGGGAGGCATCCGTAAATTTAGTTAAAAACTACTTAACAGGGAGAATGGTGGTCCTGAACGGGGTCGAGTCTGCTTGCCTAGACATAAGAAGTGGAGTTCCTCAAGGCTCTACTCGATTATTCTAAGGCTTTTGATAGCATTAGTCACAATATTCTAGTCACTATTCTTAAATACTTGGATTTTGAGGAGGCATCCGTAAATTTAATTAAAAACTACTTAACAGGGAGAAAGCAAAAGGTGGTTCTGAACGGGGTCGAGTCTGCTTGCCTAGACATAAGAAGTGGAGTTCCTCAAGGTTCAATTTGAGCTCCTTTTCTGTTTATCATTTTCACTACAAAATTTCTAGATTATCTCAAACATTGCAAAGGACAATCATATGCTGATGACAAGCAGCTCTACCATGCTTTTGACTCCTCTAGATTGCAGCTTGAGTGCCAAAATATCAACAGTGACCTTGAACGAATTGACAGAATTTCCAGAGATCACGGTTTGCTTTTAAACCAAAAAAAATCTTCTGTAATGTTTTTTGGTCGGCCGGTGGATGTTAAGCGTCTTGCTTCTGAAGTAATCATAAAAAAAAAAACAATATTACTCTTCCTCTTCGAAACGAGGCAAAAAATTTGGGATTACTTTTAGATATAAAACTTCGCTTTGAAAAGCATATTTCGACTTGTACGCAAAGGGCTATTGGTCGTTTAAAAGGGTTGTATAGCTCAAGGCATATTCTAACTGGAAATCTTAAAAAAACCTTATGCGATGCTCTTGTTCTCTCCGTCTTTAATCACTGTGGTGTCGTATATGGGCCTTGTTTGACAGCTAATTCGTCTCAACGTATTGAAAAATTCAAAAATGCTGCTTGAGGTTCAGGTTGAGGTTGGACGAACATGAAGACGCGGCGCTTGATCCATCGCCGTTGTCTTTATTTCAAAATAATTAAGACAAGATATCCGGAATACCTCTCCGAAAAAATAACTTTTAGAACAGACGTGAATAACTTAAATCTAAGATTTAAAGGGGTCATAATTCCTCGTCACCGACCTGGTATATTTGAAAGATCTTTCAGTTACGACTTGGCTAAATTATATAATGACCTGCCCCATTCCGTCCAGAATGCGACAATAAATTCTTTTCCAAATAAACTAAAAACGTGGTTATGTTCTAGAATTTAAAGAGAAAAAAATGAAAAAAAAAACATTCAGAAGTTACAGAAGTGTGCACTGCTAGAATTGTTTAAAAATTTGTGGTACTTACAGGACTTTAGCTAATAGTTTTTTTATTTAAAGAGGTAGGTTTAGGTTTTTCATTCTGTTATATAATTAGGTGGCTACTTAACGTATTGTAAATTGTAAAAATTTATTAAAACCATGTGTAAGGATAAGTGTAGAAATCAGCAAGCAGATACGTCTGGGCGCTGCACTCTTGCCTTTTCTTGTCGAAATTATCTGAATAAAGTATATTATTATTATTATTATTATTTCATTTATTAGCACGTTACAAACATTGGAAATGGAAATACTGGAATAACATTTTTACAACATAATATTGAGAATATAAGCGCTCTGTGGCCATCTGGACATACATTAAAGCTGAACGAAGATTATCACCGAAGGCGGGGAGTGAAAGAGTCAACCGTCAACCATCTGACTAGATATAGTTAAAGATAAGCTTCTCCAAGCTGTTTTATTAAAAAACATGGATGCAGTAGTCAGGTATGAGGTTGTCCTTGTTCCATGTTTTGTAAGGGTGATTTTGTATATAAGCGCTGAGATCTAACATCGTCTCTATATTTGAGCTTTGTGATGATTCTAATTATCAGGCCGAAGACGTGCTGCACCGGGAGCCTGGTCCCAGTTTAACAGTCGATTCTGCTCAAACTGGAAGTGCAACCATTGACCACATTGGACATGCGGCGTATATTAGCCCTTCCAAATTTCAAATCGCTATCTTAAGCCGTTTAAAAGTTATAGAGTGTTCCCACTTTCTTGTATCACCCGGTAAATGAGAAAGATGGGAGGTCTCATTAGTGCTAACGTACTCGAGGTTTCATTATTTAAAACAAAGTAGCTAGAAATGAACCAACTATAGACTATAGCTTTAACCAGCTTGGTGTTAGCAGAGTCGGTTGATCTACCCTCCATGAATCCGCATTGCTGATCAAAGTAAAGATTAAAATTCTCAAAATGTTTGTTAATTCCGTTATTTAACACTGATTCAATGATTTTTGATATACAAGGTACCATAGAAATAGGTCTAATATTTGGCTGCACTCTCTCCTTGATTAGGGAATTTATCAAATGAGTAATAGGGTATATTAAAATATTCTTTTTGGTTTTAAGATTTTCGTGGATATGCCAAAGTGATTTTTGATTGAAGATCACTTGTGAGGATTTGAACAAAGGAAGGTCTTCGGTTTAATTTAGCAAATTAAAGATTAAAATCTTCGTTGGTTATAGGTAACTCGTTTTTTAAATTATCAGCAATACATGCAAAAAATCTATTTCATGTGTTTTGCAGAAATGTAGCCAAAAACTCACTGTCGTATGCTATGCAACACATTTGGTAAACTTTTTAAGTCATTCGTTTGTTGGGCATTCGCTCCGCTCGTGCCAAATTTGCCACTTTTCTTGGAAATATTAATCATTTTTCATAAATTCAATATTCAAATCAATATCAATAGGACCACCGTTTTCACATTTTTGGTAGCTATGGCGATTTTCAGGTTTTTTATATGCATGCGCCTGACGCACCCTCTAGATTTGCGAAATCATCTTTCAGATCTGAATATTTTAGCCATAAAAAAAAATTGAAAAATATGTGACGAATTTGAACTTGCTCAATCGCAGTAAAAACAAGGCAAAGCAAATATTTATATGAAAAGTAAATTTTAGCTCTGAAGTGCGACTTAAAAAGTATGTTTTTATTTTTCTTTTTCAAAAACATTTTTTTAACGAAATTTTTTATTAGGTATACGAGTCATAGGTTCGCTACCATTGAGTTGAGCTAAGGTATAAGAGACGCTTCCAATGGGGTTTAAGTTGGCGACTTGAAACGTATACATACATGGCTTTGTTAATAATAATTGATATCTTTAATTGCTAGTGAAAGTTTTTTTTCTCGCATAAATTTGCAGCAATTAAAAATGTCCCGATTAAGCTGGGGAATTGTTGTTACGCACGTTTCTTACGTATACGCGGTTTTACTTATCGATTTTCTGTGCCCGTATTAGAAAAACCAGTCGGATAAATTTTGATCTGACGACTTTCAGACGCAATTTCTCGACCGAACGAGTGAGCGACAGGGCAATTTTCTTTTTGGCATTATTGCTCTCCGCAAGAGGAAGTAAAAATTACCCTGCAGTTTTGCACCTTTACCGAAGCTTATAACAATAACTTATGACGTCACTCACCCTTTTTTTTTTAATAATTCGGTCTCTATATCTCACCTTCGCGCCATCTAGGGACCGTGACGAACATTTTCTCCTGCCAAATTTCGATGCCGACCGGAAGCGCATTTTCCGGTTTCAGTCGACCGGTGAAAATCGCCTTGAGCTTTGCCGATTCGCTCGGGTAGACGAAATCTAAAATTTTCCACTCGAAGTGCTTTTGCAGTTTTTGAGTGGCGGTGACGGCGTCGAGGTTGAGGTAGACGAGCAAAATCCAGATCGAACACATTGCGGCTGCTGCGGCGAAAAAGTCAAAACATGATTCGGTGTCTTTTTCGCGATCTGACGCGGAAAAATGAGCGGCTACGCACGCATTTTTGATCCTTTTATAATATTAGCGGAGGTAGAGAAAGTCGATATCGATATCGCCGCGTTTTTGCTTAATCAGTGGCGATAGATAACGCGGGGTAATTTATTATTTAATTCAAGGGAATGCCTATTATCATTATCTAACGTAACATAACACAAAAAAAGATTCTCTTACGTTTATCGCCAGCGATAACATTTGTCTAAGGGAAAGAAAAATGCCAGACAACCCACTTACTTAACACTTAAACTACACCACGAGGGAGGATTTATAAGTAGACCGCTCAAGAAGCACCAACATTTTGGTTTAACGAAAAACTGTACATTGCAATTATTACCATTACCTAAAGTTTAAAAATTAGAAAAATAAATTAAATTAAATTAAAATGGCATTTTCGGGTTGTGTTACGTACATTGCATATATGTTTTTTAAACCTGCTCAGGGTTGGACTGTAAACGGCATTTGACTCACGAGTTTATTTGAGACGAGCGGAGCGGGTGTGATTTAAAAAGTTTACCGAACGTATTGCATACTATACTTTTTCTACGACCGTTAGTTTTTGGGTACGTGTTCGCAAAACAACACGAATACATTCACTGACATGACAGTCAGAATTGACAAACGTCAAAATTCAAAGCGTGGGAAGTATCTCCGAAAACATCCGATTGCTCCTAAACTCGTGCGGTAAAATCCCGGAAATGTCCGAAGTTGCTCGGATCCGTGACTGACGTGGTAAAGTGACGCTCCCCGCACGCTAGATCGATGTGTAATTTGGCATTTGACGGGAGTAGAAAAACATTTTTTAACCAAGATAATTCAAAATTATTTGTTGATATTTTGGAGCTGTTTAAATTATGAGCTTATCTGTGTTTGAATTGACTGCCTTTTGAATTTTGTCAGCTTTATCAATATTATTGTGAACAAAATCCACACTGTAGCCCTGAGCAACTTAAGGTGAACGATAATATGGTTTTTAATTGTATAGGGTGTTTTTTTTTTCGATGTATAGAACTTTAAGTTGCAATAAAACAACGAATGGATTATTCGATTGACATGAATTTTATTTATCTGAAAGATAATCTTGTGGCATCACATTCTGAATATGATTTCTGGTATATGACCGCCACGGCTGGCGCAGATGTAGTCCAATCTGGACGTCCAATTTTCGATGACTTTTTCCAACATTTGTGGCCGTATATCGGCAATAACACGGCGAATGTTGTCTTCCAAATGGTCAAGCGTTTGTGGCTTATCCGCATAGACCAATGACTTTACATAGCAACACAGAAAGTAGTCTAGCGGTGTTAAATCACAATTCACAGGTCCAAACCGTGAAATTAGGCGGTCACCAAACGTGTCTTTCAATAAATCGATTGTGGCATGTTGCGCCGTCTTGTTAAAACTACATCTCCTGGACATCATGGTTATTTAATTCAGGAATGAAAGAGTTAGTAATCATAGCTCTATACCGATCACCATTGACTATAACATTCTGGCTATCATCGTTTTTGAAGAAGTACGGACCAATGATTCCACCAGCACATAAAGAGCACCAAACAGTCAGTTTTTCTGGATGTAACGGTGTTTCGACATAGACTTGAGGATTAACTTCGCCCCAAATGCGGCAGTTTTGTTTGTTGACGTAGCTATTCAACCAGAAATGCGCTTCGTCGCTAAACAAAATTCGCTTATGAAAATCGGGAACAACGGCAATCTCGTTTTGGGCCCATTCGACGAATCTACGCCTTACTTGATGATGGTTGGCTTAAATTCTTGCACGAGTTGAATTTTGTAAGCACGTAAACCAAGATCCTTCAGCAAAATCTTCCATAAAGTGGATGGACTCGGATCCAATTCCAGTGCTCGATGGCGGATGGACTCATTCGGGTCTTTCTCAATGCTACACTCTACAGCAGCAATAGCTTCTTCTGTACGCATCGTACGGCGTCTCTGGAGATGCGAGTTATCAATAATATGAATTGCCAAACCAAACTGAGAATAAATTACTTGACAGCTGTTAAATCGGTCGCTATCTTAAACAGTAATGCCAACTTAAAGTTCTATACATCGAAAAAAAAAACACTCATTATAATGTCCGCACGCCGACTATCTAACGGAATGCGGCCGAACTCGCGACCTTGCAAAAAAAGCATTGTTTGTATAGTGCTTCTGCTAAGAATTTTTCGAAAACTATTTTGCTTCTCAATGAACGCTGTTGATTTAAAATATTTGCCTATGTCGATATTTTTGGTGGCCTTCAGCGTAGAATATGATGATTTTTCCAATAAATACGCCAATAAAACATCTTCATCTATCCGTCCAGTAAAATGGCACTTTCGGGACTTGTTACGTAAACTACTATGTATTTATTTCTAGAACTGCTATGTATTTATTTCTTCTAAAAGTTTTTGTATTATAAGTTTGGAAAAAGCTTTCGTTCTAAATTTCTCTAATATACTGAACATTTGAAACTGAGTAAAGGATACCTAAAGATAGATAACGAAATTTTATTTCTATTTTGTTTCCTAAAATTAAACTTTCAAGTTTTAAGTTCTTTTATTTATATTTGAGCGTATGATAAACTATCTGACTATCTGATGACGTAGAAAAAAGTTATCAGAACGTCATTTGGTTTCAAGCAATCGCAAGCGCCTGGCTCGTGGCTCTATTGATAGCATAACGGATCAAAGTATATTGAAATGCCTTAAGCCTTTTGAAATTATCGAGAGTTATTTCCAAAAATATTCGAACACCATCCATCACTTTGCTTTCTGAGATAGAGCAAAGAACATGACGATTTATGTAAAAATTTATTTTTCGGCAAATTGTTATAAAAGGCTCAAAAAGGAAATCGAAAAATCGCAAATCCTCTCTGTATTATTTTTTCAAGTTATATTCGAAATCATATTTTTTTCATTACTAGAATTTTAGGTGTCTCTCGTAGAAAATCTAGCCTTTTTTTATTTTTATTTATTTATAATTTTATTTTTTTAAAACTGATTAATATTTTGATACCGTTATGTTATTTTTCGAAATACAATGTTTTGTAAAAGCGTTTTGCTTATAAATGTTTAAATAAAGCCTATTAAATTCGCACGTTTAAATAAATCGTCGGGAAAATACAATTATTCTCAACAGTTACGAGTCACGGAAAGCGGCTGAGTGACTCTTGCGTTTTCGTTGATTTTTTCCGAATACCGTGCTAAATATTCACCGTTTGACAGCCACGTTAGCATTCATTAATGTAATTGGCGCTTATTCCACCACGTATGCCGAGGTTTTTGCGCCAAACGGATTTTTTGCATGATTTTCATTACGACGCATAAAGCTATAGACCTATAAAAATGCCTCCGACGCCTATTACACGCGCTATTCGCGAACATTTAAGGCGTGGTTACCGGGTGGAACACCTACCCGTTTCCTCTTTGTTCGTTCTTGCATATTAAAATTATGTAAAAAAAAATCGATTTCAGGGCTTTGGTTATTTATTTTTTCTACACCCCTCTGTAAAATACCTAATTACACACCGATCTAGCATGCGGGAAGCGTCACTTTACCACGTCAGTTTCGTTTCCCGCGGATCCGAGCCGCTTCGGACATTTCCGGGATTTTGCCGCACGGGTTTGGGAGCAATCGGATGTTTTCGGAGATATTCCCACGCTTTGTCACGTCACAGAATGTATTCGGGTTGTTTTGCGAAAATGTACCCAAAAACTAACGGTCGTAGACAAAGTATAGTATGCAACACGTTCGGTAAACTTTTTAAGTCACTCGCTCCGCTCGTGTCAAATAATGTGTCCTTACTGTTGTGTCGACTAACATACTAATATCAATATTTTGGAAAACCAATGTTTGTCATATATTTTGTTTTATTTTAATTTATTTTATTTTGTTGTTTACTATTTTGTTTATGTTGATCAATGAATAAATAAAATAAATAAATAAATACAGATCTACACGCACTACGTAAGAACCTTATAGATGAACGATTTACTGTCTATTAAAAAATTGGGAAAATTAAGAAAATCATTTACGGATAACGAATATCTATTAAATAAGGGAGAATTTATTAACAAAATCACTTACAGTTACCAAATAAAATTTGTTTATTTTTCCTTTATTTAATAATTCCGATGTTTAACCCCAGTATCTGAGGGATTGGACGAATTTTTGAATTTAGGAGACGTTTGTAATTATAGATAATTAAAATATTATAGACTAAATGTATATCTCGGTAAATAAACGACAGAGAAGTTATAGATATAGATGTTTCTTCGAACAAATCATCGTCACTAACTGGATCTTATGGTATTTGCATTTGAGAAAATACCTATTAAGGAACCATTTCTATTTTGGTTTGTGTTAGTTGAGATTCTGGTTGTGGCTAAAGAAGTATCTATGTCTATTAAAACGGAAATTATTCTTTTTTGAAACTTTTCAATTTGAGTAAGATATTTCTTAACTGTTGAGGAATATTCAAGAAACCATCTGAATAGATGGTAAATGATCATATTCGGAGGCGTGTGCACATATTTTTTTCATTGATATTACAAATAACCGCATTGCTTCGACCGTCTGCGTATGTCCTGCAAGAGTTTTGCGAAAATTACCGAAAAAACACACGCCGCAACCATAATTATTGCTACGAAGTCGACCATTTTGTTCTTATGCACCAGATAATGATTTTACGAAAGATCAAGCGTGTCGGTAAAAAAAAAACGGAAATTTCAACTGGTCGCTTATTATTGACTAATTGAAATGGACTTTTTTTTATCGCAAAATAGGAGGGGACAAATCGCGAGGGTTTCCTAATCTAGCCAATTTATAACTAAATAACTTTTTTTTATGTTGAATAATGAAAAAAAAATATATAAATGCGTTGCAAGTTCGTCTTGTTGTTCTTCTCAGTTGTTCATATTATAGGTCGAGCCACCCTGTAGACTCTATATCGGTGTTCGTTTTGTACTCAGTTTTAATTGCCCGCAGAGTAGCGTAAAAGTAAATGCAATACCAGTTCTTAATATGTTCTTAATATGGCTGACGGTTTACCCTTTCCGCGATAACAAAAATTTTAAGGAATTTTTTTTTTATTCACGATACTTCTTTATGTCTTCATTTCCGGCCTCTTGAGCCAATTGGTAATAGCGCATTCTCTACTACTTATTTTTCATGCATTAATACTTCATGCATAGAAGTTGGTATATCAGATCATAGATACAACTGATACAACTGAGTAAATAGGTTTGCTGTGGCAACAGCAAACCTTCCGAATAATTCATAACTAATAGCAAACCCGCTCAAGATGACTTACAGAATGAGCTGTATTGCCATCATTGGAACTACCAAGCCCGGGTTTTGGCTTCTCAACTATAAGCTCCACCTTTAAGCGAAATTTTCGTTGAACCTCTTTTTTGCCTACCATCCACCCTCTTCTTTTCGTCAGCACTTCGAGATAACCATTTTTTGATTGGCAGTGCACATTCAAAAAATCTAATCCATGCATGTAGTATTGATAGCCGGAATCTAAGGTGTTCTTCTGAAACAGGCATTTTCAAAACTTTATCGATATCATTAAAATCCTTGCTTGTTGCTCCACATGATAACATCTTTGCGATGACTTCGTTGGAGTGGTCGCACTAAAAGTACATTCGAATGTTAAAGGTTCATTTATTTGGCTTTCAACATGTCTTATATCCGCTTGTGTCGATTCTGACGTTTCTTGGAGCAATTGCATGCGAAGTGGTCTACAAAACCTTGGAGATGATGTTCTGGGCTTCTTCCAAACAACAACTTCTTTACTGTTAGCATTAGTATATATTAGTTGCAGAGGAGCTACCGATGTAAATAATATACTGGCATACTGGTTGTGGCTTCCATCACATCCCCATTTACAGAGAAGTTGCAGGTTCTGCAGGTTTTCATCATGGTTGCCGAAGTTCGACTTCAGCACTTCTCTCAGGAATTTTTATAGATTTCGGTGGAGAATAACAGGATGATTTTGCTTCTAATACCTTGTTGTGGGATGGAAAGAGTCTGCAGTTTTGCTCAAGACTGATTAATGGTAGACCTTGATACTGACTTTTCGAAAGCTTCACCTCAATTAATATCGAAAGGACCTTTTCACTGGTTAAAGGCGTTTCAGTTGCTACTTCGAAACTTTTTCGGTATTTGGATGCTCTGCTTCGCCAATCATCCTGTTGACTCTTAAGCTTCGACTCAACATCAACCGACGCGTTTAAAGTTCTACTCTGCGGTAGATGTTTGTAATTGTAATTGCAATTCTCGTCGGTTCAAAAATACTGAATTCGTAATTATAAATAAATTAATTTAGCGGTGACACTGTATATACCCTTCGTCACCTCTGCGTACTTTGACCGCAGGAACTACTCAAAGAAAACAAAGGCAACTTCATCGTCAGTCCCCTTTCCATCGAAATAATCTTGGCGTTGACGCAAGCCGGCGCCCGTGGCGGCACAGCCGAAGAATTTACCCAAAGCCTGAGCCTGCCCGCTACGCGCGACCGCACCGAAGAAGCGTTGAGGACCTTTTTGCCGACTCTGAAGAGCTCCAAGGACGACCTGAAGCTGTTGTCCGCGAACAAGCTCTTCGCCGGCGACAGGTTCCGCATCCTTGACGAATTCAGGAGGATCGCCAACGACGTGTTCGAAGCTGGCGTCGATAACGTGGACTTTGCTAAGGCCCAGCAGGCCGCCAAGACCATCAACGATTGGGTGGAACAACATACCAACAACAAGATCAAGAATTTGATCGATCCCGATAGCCTGAGCGACGCTACTAGATTGGTCCTGGTCAACGCCCTGTATTTCAGTGGTGAGTATAATGAGTTATTGTCACTAGCGCTAACACTCTAGATAACCAATGAATTTCACGCGACGACACTCGACACTGCGAAATGGCGCCTACACTTAACCAAAACTAGTTCTACTATAATAATGTTGTGGTCAATAGATTATAAAGACTAAGATACTCGTTTTTATTATTATTTAGAGACCTTAGGTTGAGCTTTTGGCGGTTGTAACACGGCGAGATGGCTCCTAGACTTATTGAAAACTAGTTCTATTATAGTAATGTCGTGGTCAGTGGGTTATTTAGACCAAGATACTCGTTTCAGCGAGCTTTTGACGGCCTTCGTAGTTCTTTTTGTGATGACTCTGTCGTGAACTGTTTTTATTATTATTTAGAGAACTTAGGTTGAGCTTTTGGCGGTTGTAATACTACGAAATGGCTCCTAGACTTATTCAAAACTAGTTCTATTACAGTAATGTCGTGATCAGTAGGTTATAAAGACCAAGATACTACTTTTAGCGAGTTTTTGACGTCCTTCGTGGTTCTTTTTGTGATGACTCTGTCTTGAACTTTTTTTATTATTATTGAGAGAAGTTAGGTTGGGCTTTTTAGCGGTTGTAACACTGTGAATTATCTCCTAGACTTAATCAAAACTAGTTCTATTATAGTAATACCCTGGTCAGTCAGTTATAAAGACCAAGATACTCGTGTGAGTGAGCTTTCGACGGCCTTCTTAGTTCATTTTGTGATGACTCTGTCTTGAACTGTTTTTATTATTATTTAGAGAACTTAGGTTGAGCTTTTGGAGGTTGTAACACTGTGAACTGGCTCCTGGACTTAATCAAAACTAGTTCTATTATAGTAATACCCTGGTCAGTCAGTTATAAAGACCAAGATACTCGTGTGAGTGAGCTTTTGACGGCCTTCGTAGTTCTTTTGATTCAATGACTCTGTCTTGAACTCTTTTTATTATTATTTGGAGAGGTTAGGTTGAGATTTAGGCGGTTGTAACACTGTGAAATAGCTCCTAGACTTAATCAAAACTAGTTCTATTACAGTAATGTCGTGGTCAGTGGGTTATAAAAGAGATACTACTATTAGCGAGTTTTTGACGGCCTTCGTGGTTCTTTTTGTGATGACTCTGTCTTGAACTGTTTTTATTATTATTGAGAGAAGTTAGCTTGGGCTTTTTAGCGGTTGTAACACTGTGAAATATCTCCTAGACTTAATCAAAACTAGTTCTATTATAGTAATACCCTGGTCAGTCAGTTATAAAGACCAAGATACTCGTGTGAGTGAGCTTTTGACGGCCTTCGTAGTTTTTTTGATTCAATGACTGTCTCGAACTATTTTTATTATTAATTAGAGAGGTTAGGTTGGGCTTTCTAGAAACTCGTTCTCGTAGTGTTGTGGTCAGTAGCTTGTGGCGATCAAGATACGCGTTGATGATGATGACGTTCCTGCTCTGGTTGTTCTTTTTCCCTTAAAGGACTCGGAATCGATGAGGAATATGTGTAACTCAATTATCGTTTAAAGATCAGAGTGTTGAAGCCTCGGGCTTCTGTGGCAGTCCAGTCATTTGGTTTATTAAATGCAAGCCGTGATAGCTTGACTTGACTTTCCTTTTTTACCCCTGCCCTGATATCCTGTCGATATTTAAATCGTTTCTTTAGCCAAATGGGAGAACCAATTCGAGAAGTACGCCACGAGGAAGGAGGCTTTCTACACGAACGCCCTCGATTCGAAACAAGTCGACATGATGCACATCGAGGACTCGTTCCGATACTACGAGTGCAACGAGAAGAACGTCAAGTTTCTCGAACTGCCGTACCTCGGCGGAAACATCTCCATGACGATCGTACTGCCCAACGACAAGGAGGGCCTCGTCAAAGCTGAGGAGAACATCGAAGAGTTGTTGAAACCGCACCCGCTCACCCACGAGAGGGTGGCCGTCTCTTTGCCCAAGTTCCTCGTCGAGAGCGACATCAAACTGAAACCGATTCTGCAGAGGGTAAAGCCGATTTTTTTTTGGGGGGTCGAAATGTCGTGTGACATTCAGAGTTCGTTTGCAGTTGGGCTTGACCAAGGCTTTTAACTTAAACGAGGCCGACCTCTCGGGCATATCGCAAGAGGGTTTGTACATCGACGACGTCATCCAAAAGGCTTTCATCAACGTCACCGAGTCGGGAACGGAGGCCGCCGCCGCCACTGCCGGTAAGTTTCGCGCTATTTTCGATTTCGGATGCCATTTTCGGTGTTGGGTATTGGTGTTGGTGTATGTAACGTTGTGTCCAAAGGTGAGACTAAGAAAACCCCTATTAAATATCTAGTATAGTATTTAGACTGATGTGTTAAACGACTGGCGCTCCACCTATGTTGCGAACTTGAACTATTCAATACATTAAAAGTGCGGTTCTGATTCATAATAAGGGTGGGGCGCCGAGTGGTTTGTGTGGTGGACTTGTCCGATCTCCCTTGGATGTAACGTCGTCGTCGGTGTTTCGTTTCGATCGCTGTGGGTTGCCGTTTTTTAACATAGACATAGAAAATATTTCGCTGCGCAGGGTGAATCATATACAACTTCACAATATTTTGATGTAAAGTAGATGGGGCGTTAAAGAATAACCGCCCAGCTGTAAAACTTTAACCTCATAAATTTAACCTGCTAAGTGACCGAACGGGATGGGTGTTCTTCACCGCAGCATGCCGGTGTCGTACCTTTTGGAGAAATGCCCGTACCTACTATTAAACACTTGGAAAGTGTTGAACCTGTCTTTCGCTGCTATATATTCATTTTTGAATGATCTTGGATCTTTAAATCACATTATACTTCGAGATCGCCCAATAGCAAAGGGAAAAAGAAAGAGCCAAGTTTATGTGCTCCCTGTACCACAGCTCTAACTCGCTCTTGGCTCATCTGTTATGATGTGTTGAAATTATTTGATCTTGCCGAGTTTATTGGCTATTTTTTTTTATTTCTTTAATACGCATACCAAATAACAAAACTCAAAACCCGATATTTAAGTTGCAATAAATAATTCAAGTTGACGTCATACCGCTGCTTTTCTATATGATAATAATGCAAGCAAACACAAAAGCCATATTACAAATGTATCTTGCCAACCCGTAAAACGCCAGATGAACTTTTTATTCGTCTCCACATGGTTAAAGGCATGTAGCAGAGGTGGAAATGATATATTCGGAAAGAATATAAGAATATAAGTAAAGAGATAGACTGATTAAAATTATGCCTAAATATTTTGTATGTAGTATCTGTTCCATTGCCTATTAAAGCCTTTACTTCAAGCAATAATAATAATAAACCAGGTCATAGCACATTGTTTTTTTTATAGAAGGTATAGAAAACTGAAATTTAATTAAAATGAAAAAAAAAGAAAGCCAATGTAGTACCTAATATATTTGATTGACAGGCAAATATAAGGTTGTTCGGAAAGTCATTTCGTTTTTTCCCGTTAGAGGACTTAATTACGTTTTTTCGAAACCAACTTCACACTTAAGCCGCATAACCATTATATGTCTTGAGAGCTGATATTGCAAGGCTTGTGTGTGAAAAAGTTCTATTAATTCTACGCAGTAGTTTTTGGTTGGTGCCCTTTTAAATATGGAGAGCAATAAGCAGCATTTTCGTCATATTTTACTTTTTTACTTCAGAAAAGGTAAAAATGCTGTCCAAGCGAGAAAAAAATTGACGGATGTGTATGGAGAAGGCGTGTTAACAGTACGCCAGTGCCAGAACTGGTTTGCAAAATTTCGATCCGGCAATTTTGATGTCGAAGATACACCACGGTCTGGAAGGCCGGTCGAAGCTGACGAAGATGCGATAAAGGCATTAGTTGATGCAAATCGCGAATAACCACACGAGAGATCGGTGAGAGATTAAATTTGTCGAATTCGACTGTTTGTGGCCATTTGAAAGGCATGGGCTTAACCTCGAAGCTCGATGTGTGGGTGCCCCATGTCCTTACGGAGCGAAATTTGTGTCGTCGCGTTGACGTGTGTGATTCGCTCCTCAAACGTCAAGAAAATGATCCATTTTTGAAGCGGATTATTACTGGGGACGAAAAATGGGTTGTATACAACAATGTTAAACGCAAGAGGTCATGGAGCAGAAAAGATGAACCGGCTCAAAGCGTGTCAAAAGCCAACATTCACCAAAAAAAGGTGATGCTCTCCGTTTGGTGGGATGTCAAAGGAATCGTTTTTTTTTGAGCTTTTGCCGGACAATACAACGATTAATTCAGAAGTCTATTGTCATCAACTGGACAAATTGAATGATTCACTTAAAGAGAAGAGGCCCGAATTAATCAACAGGAAGGGTGTAGTGTTCCACCAGGATAATGCGAGACCTCACACAAGTTTGGTCACTCGCCAAAAACTTTTACAGCTTGAATGGGACGTACTGCAACATTCACCATATTCTCCAGATCTGGCGCCTTCCGACTACTATTTGTTCCGGTCCCTGCAAAATTTTTTGGATGGCAAAACCTTTACCTCAAATGAAGATGTCAAAAACCACCTGAACCAGTTTTTTGCCGGCAAGGACCAAAACTTTTATGAGAGGGGAATTATGTTACTGCCAGAAAGATGGCAAAAGGTGTCGGACCAGAATGGCCAATATATAATTTAATAAAATATTTATTCATTATACGAAAACTATCTTTCATGTTCCCCAAAAAAAACGAAATGACTTTCCGAACAACCCTATAGAATAAGGTCTCTTCCCAGAGAAACAGCTATTAACGGAGCTAAGAGAAGGGAAGAGAAATAAATAAAGTATATGCTTTAATAATAAATCAGCTTCAAATATTAGTTAGCCTAACACGTAAAATTGGCATCGCAATTTTAATTTTAATGCTTTAAAGTTCTCCATAGGAACTCCTTCCTGATCTATTTAAAATAAAGAACACTTGAACTTATCAATGCCAATGTACTTTAACACACACTAGTTTAAAAAAATCATTTTTGTTGAATAATATACATTTTATTTGATATACCATTTGAATTTTAAAAACCGGAAAACACGGCGAACCTCGGAAAAAGAAAAACTTTCCTTGTTTTGTATGTAAGACGTAAACAGACGAACACGTTGTCGTTTTCTAATGACTTTTCTATGCCACTGTCCGGCTAACGAGCGAATTGACGTCACAGCCAATGACGGCGCGTTTCAAAAAGGACTCAAATTTGTATGTTGTGAGATGCCATTTGAATGAATTTTAGATTTTAAGTATAACCCCAGTCCGGCGTCAGGTTGACAAACTCCGTTTTTGCAAAAAGAACATGACAAATGACAATGACAAAAGTTTATTCGGTCGAGACAGAGACTGACTGTCAGACAAACGAGACAGACAGCTGATTGTTTGGTATGCTGGCGTCTATTCCAGGGCCAAGAATCGCAAACCTAATAGGATTGCCTAATCCGTAAAATCTGCCCGCAAGGGCAATGCTAAAACTCTCGCTGACTGTGACGTAGGTGAAGTTTGGCTTATATGTATTATCTTGAAATACATATATTAATTAAATATTGTTACACAGAAATGAATGAAGTCTTTTTGATCTAGATAATCCTGCTTCTGTTGGTGGCTTCTGGTTAAATGATATTAGGGTGGGAACAGCAGTTTTTTTTTTAGAATCTTTTTTAAAGGTAAACCTAAAATTTAAATTTTGTGGTGAATTTAATGTGTTACTCAAGACAAAAAAAAACTAATAACTCATTTTGTAAGTCTCTTTCGTAATCATTTTCAGTAAAATGCACTGAGCAGACATAGCTTTTATCTGGATTAACTAACGAACTATCCACTCGTTCCGAATAGTTCGGGATACTAGATCTTTCCCTTTGGGAAAGCGATAAAAACTATATTTTCGAGAACTTGCTTTTTCACACTTAATAAGTCTTTGTTTAAGGTTAACAATAGTTTTGGTTAGCATTTGTAACAGCTTAAAAACACCGTTTTGTCCAAGTTACAGAAATACAATTAACGCAAACATAAACGCACTACTCGCTAGTTTAAATTATTGTAATTGTTCACACAACACAAAATACAACGGCTTCGAATGCATTGATAGAGTACATAGAATAGAGGACTTCGCTTACGTCACAAGCGACCACGTGCGATCGATAAATTTGGCGAACGTATGTCTTGCTCTTGGACGATCTGAAAGTTGTTCTGTGATTTATATCTCTCTCGCTCTCTCCATTATAAATTTTCCCTCTCTTTCTCTCTCTCTCTCGGTGACGAGAACGTGGATGTAGTTAGTGCTCGTATCAGTGATGTTTTTGGTGTCGGCTTTAGGCGGAGGTAAGTTGTGTGATTTTTTCTCTCTCAAACAAATTTGTCGTTCGCCACCATCGGGATCGTGTTGTCGAGGGAGTTTTTTATAATACCATTACACATTTAACCCCGTGTTATTCAGTTTTTGTATGGAAGCGTGACTAGATTCGCGCGTATAACGCGTTGCGGGGGCGTTGGTGTCGCTTATAGTTGGGTTAATAGTCAAGCTATATTAGACGTGCAATTCGCTGACGAAACGTTGTGTTTTCAGTGATTGCCAATAGGAGAACGTCGAGACCTGCGCCGAGTAAATTTCTAGCCGCCGACCACGCCTTTGTTTACTACATTAAAAGCGACCGGCTCGTTTTGTTTGCCGGCCGTATTAACGGCGTCGCGTAGCTTATGGAACGTAGTTCGTAGCGCACACGTACGATGTGACATGCACCAAAGATTTAACGAGATTAATAAAAAGACTAGCGAATTATTTATTTTTTTCATCAGACAAATTAAGGGGGGTGAAATCCTAACTAGTTCCCAAGCCGTCTTGCTTTTGTAAGCTAATATAAACAATAAACAATCGCCCTTTAGGCGGTTTTTAATTTTTTAGTTCTTGGTGAACTACAGCAGAACTACAGTGAATTAACAGAATTCACCAATTTTTAATTAAGTTGCTATCTTTTCTTTCCTCCTGTCCTTACCCAGGCGGTCGCTATTATTTTGGGAAAAGAGACTCCTTTTCCAAAATGGACTTAAACCCTCCAAGCCCCGCCCTAATCAAATTATTTTATATTTACTTATGGCGGATGCGCCGGTGAAACAAACCATTAAGAATGAAGTTCAGATTTTCATATTTGGAATAGGCCTTGTAAATATTTCGGCTGTAAAAAGGCTTAATAACGCCATGGTGATCGGACGGGTTGGCTTTTGATGTGCGCGTGTTCTATTTTCGATTACTTTAACTGAAAAAAAACCTTTCTTATTTTCAGTGAAAATAATTCCCTTGTCCGTGCAGTTTCCGGCACCTCCCGTTCGGATCTTCAAGGCCGATCGTCCGTTCTTGTATTCCATAAAAAATAACGGCGTGAATTTGTTCGTCGGGAAAGTGCTCCATTGATTGGTATTTTCCTTTAACAATTACTAAATTTTTGAAAAAAAAGCAACCCGTTTTTTAATTTATGGCGCGTGCGCCGGTCGAACAGTATTATAAAGCTCCTTTGTCTCTTAGCGGCTGTGATTTTATTTATTAAGTTGAAGGATTGTCAAAAAGAGTAAACAAGTGATTTGTTATGACTTATCTGTATTATTAAGATTTCAAATGCAAAAAAATGACAGAAACCTTAAACACACGCGGCATCAAAAATCAACATTGTAGGGAACTGTCGACGGAAACGTCGACATGATTTAGCTACGGAAACATAGATGGCGGTAGTGTGTTGCGTTACGTTTTACTCAAATAAAACGATTCTGGTATTTGTTTACGCGTTTTTAAAACTATGCGTTTTTTAGAATTTTATTCGCCTCGAGAAACACGATCCCATTCAGCAGGGCGACAAAATGTCGATAACGTCCTATCACTTCCTCGCTTTCCGTTTCAGTTCATATTCAGGCGGAGTCGCTGCCGCCGCCTCCGACTGGCGCATTCCGCGCGGACCACCCTTTCTTGTTCTTCGCAAGGCTAAAGGATATTTTGTTTTTCGCCGGCAAGGTGGAAAATCACGAAGCCCTTATTTCGGAATAATCCATATTACCTATCGGGCAGCATCCGTTTGACCATTTGACGCCTCAGAGTGCCGATTATTATGATTATTTTTTTTTATTAAATCGCCTTTCGTATATTGGGCATTGCTTATTTAACTACCTGTATTCTTGGAATTGGAATTGTCGATGTGTTTCTGATGTTTGATTGGTCCCATTTCATATCTTACAAAGCAGTACTCGTAAAATGAAAAAAAGGTAATAAGTTACATTGACCGGCGGGTTTTAATAAAATACACATTTTGCCTTTTTTTGTATATTTTAACATATATTTTTGTAATGCACCATTTTTTGAACGTGCTTTCTAAAGTCAAGTGGCGTTAACTTTTCATCCATTGGCGTATATAACGGGTGTTTCAAATTCGGCTCTCACTATTAGGATCTCGGTACGCGGTACAGAGTGACTTAAATTAGGGCAAAGTTGCGCATCGGTGTAAATAAATTCTCATTAGAACTTTTTAGGCAAAAATCCCGAATTTCAATTGAATTTTTGCAGTGTTGTTTAAATTCGAAATATTAAACAAAAAGTTTTATACCATAGTAAGTTATGGATTTTCAAATCTGTCGATAACATTTTAATATCTAGTGCATCACTGTTTCGTTAAAATGGACTTTACCAATGAAGAAAAACGAGATATGGTAAAACGATAGAAATGTGCCAAGACATCGGACATGTATCCTGCAACCTCATCGAACTTTCTTTAAATTAAATTCAAGCGTTGACGTCAAAAATTCTTCTTCTTCTTCTTCTACTTTTTGGAGATCTGTCGATCTGTTAATTCTGAAACTGCCTCTGCATCTTTTCCTGTGATGTGGATTGTCAACTATCTTTCCACCTTTTAGGTGGTCTCCCGGGAGGTCTTGGGCCGGGCGGGTTGTTTTCCAGGACTATTCTCGGAAGTCTGTTCTCGTCCATCCGTCTTAAATGGTTGTACCACTGCCTCTTACGTTGTCTTCCCCCTATCACAATATCTTGTACCCCGCACTGCTCTCTGACATCTGTGTTTCTTACTCTGTCTCTTCTTGTTTTCCCCGCTATTGTCCTCAGTGTTTTCATCTCTGCTACCCTTAGCATTTGTTTCGTTTTGTTGGTGTCTTCGCGGACTTCCGTGCCGTACATCATGATGGCTCTTGTAGATTCTAATTTTGCCGTCCTCGCGCATGTACGGATTGGACCAGACTATATCTCGTAGGCATCCTGATAGTTCGGATGCTTTGTTAATCTGGCTCCTTATGTCTTTCACTGGGTGGATGCCCAGATATCTTAATTGCATCACTTGTTCCGTGGGTTTGTCCTCCACCACCAGCTTACATCTGTAGGTCGTTTTCTGGTTCGGCGATGATTGCTGCATCATCGGCGTAGCACACCATTCCAACTCTTTTGTTGCCCAGTCTGTATCCGAGGTTGAGACCTGTTACTTTGTTTATAATTTTGTCCATGATAAGATTAAACAAAAGGGGGCTTAGATTGTCAGCCTGTCTGATTCCTCCCGGTGTTGGGATATTTCCAGTGAATTGATCTCCTACCTTGACCTTTGTTACGTTATACCTGCCCACAAAGTAAGACTAAAACGAACTTGCCGTCGAATTACTTGAATATTTCACAATTTGTAAAACTCTGTCCGAATCACATTTTCTAGGAAAGCTGGAAAATCGTGTCTTCGTTGCAGCCAATTACAAAATTGTAATCGCCTTTTGGGATCTCCTGAATGTAATTTTTGTTAGATATGGATTTTGTAGCATTTGAAGCCACTTTTTTTTAGGCGTCTCCACCGTATGAGAAGAAGCACCTACATCAGAGTAAATTTGGCGTGTGGATTTTCCAAATAATTTCCCCTTAATTTTACTTCATTACCTAAATTTTCTTTAATTTATTTATCCATTCTGTCTCCATATTTTTGTCTTGGTTTTTCAAACGAATTTGAACAAAGTTCGATGAGGTTTCGTCTTTCAGGATACAGGTTCAAATATATTTCCGATGTCTTTACACCGTTTCTGGCGTTTTTATAATAAAGTTTTACCATAGCTCGCTTTTCTTTATTGGCAAAGTCTATTTTTAACTACACACTAGATGTTAAAATGTCATCGACAGATTTCAAATTTGAGGAAACACAAATACAACATCGAACATCAATAAAAAGTTAATAATACAGGCTGTTCAACACTGCGAAAATCCAATATGGCGACCGTAAGACATAAAAAATAAAAACGAAAACCGGTAGTTTCAGATTTTGCGTCATATTTCCGAAAGTCAATTTAAGTCACCCCGTATGTCTTGCCGTTACCCGGCATACATGGGCATCACATCGTAAGCAAAACACCTGGAATACATAGTAAAGTAACGATTGTGGGTCCTACCCTTTCGACATTTTAAATTCCCTTAACGGAATTGTTTACTTTGTTTTAGTGAAGTTCGTTCCGACATCCGGCAAACTCCCTCCTATTACGGAATTCATAGCTGACCGCCCCTTCGCATATTATATCAAATCCAACGGGATAGTGTTATTCGTCGGAAAAATCTCAAACCCAAACTGATCGATGATCGATGTTATTGTCGTCTGCAAGTCTCTAATTATTTCCTTAGAACAGGGTAAATTACAAATTAAATAAGTATATTTTATTTATTCATCTTTTATTTGATCGTCCCCAATTCAAAATTTAATTGTCCGGATAGCGGGTTACACGAGAAAGTGGGAACACTCTATAACTTTTAAAGGGCTTTCAGACAGCGATTTGAAATTTGGAAGGGATAATATAGGCTGAAGGTCCAATTTTTTGACAATATGGTTGCATTTTTTTCATACCGGGTCACCTGATCATGGGAAAAATTGTAAATGGAACTTTTGTTTACTTGACTAATGGCAAATAGCATTTAATGTAATGAACTATTTTTTTTAGGATAACGTAGTTTTATCAGTTTTATCGTCATTTTTGCAACAATTTGACACGAACATTTTCAAAATTCGTTAACAAATAAGCTCACAGGAGGGAAAAAACCAGATAGAAAAACAAAATATTAGTTAGGTGGTTTTGCTTCTATTCATCAAGTTGGCATTGAAAATTCTCGCTCAAACCGGATGTGCGACCATTGTCAAAAATTGGACATTCAGCCCATATTAACCCTTTCAAATTTTAAGTCGCTATCTCAAGGCGTTTAAAAGTTAAAAGTGTTCCCACTTTCTTGTGCCACCCTGTATATGTCAACGTAGAAAATTGCTTATTATTACCCCACCACAATTAATTATTGAGTTATTAAAGAGGGAAAGCGAGCCCAAGGATTGGTAAGTACTTACGTAGGTATACGTTAATTTTATGTAAAATCCAAGGTAAAATCTAAATTGTACTACGACATAAATAACTAAATATAAAAAAGCTTCATAAGAATTTACTTACTAAAAGAGCGAAGTTAAAGATTAAGATTAGTTACTGATTACAGAAGAGTTTTACAGAGGTCATAAAGATAAATATTAAGTAGGGGGTAAGTAACGCCCAGAATATGAATGAAATGAATTCTATAAATCCCTTTTCTTGGTGAAATGACATAGTTGTTCGCGAAAAACAATTTCAACTACATTTTTTTCAATATCAAAAAATCCATATTTTCATCATTGACTGATATAATAAATTTTTGTGTTACTTAAAAAATGAGATAAAAATGAGTGAAAAAAAGTAATTAATGGGAGATTAGACGGGAAAAATTTGTCCCAAACTGCATTTAGCGTGCTTCAATTTTTTTTTTATTTTTTAGCTCTTACCCTTTTTGATTTAAAAAAAATCCTCACCAAAGATAAGCCCTGTAGCTCAACTCTACTAAATTTACCTATAATGTTCGATATTTTTTACAAAAAACCCAATTTATATTGTTAAAGTTGAGTCTTTAAGCTTTCCAAAAATCGTATAACGATGTATGATTATCATTAAAAGAAGATTAATTACAGCCATTTAAAAATTAGTACATTTTGAACTTTTCAGAAATAGCTTCTAATAATTTTTTATCTGCATAATTTCTCAAAAATTTGCGTGTTATTTCTACGGATTTCAAATTTTAAAATGGTTGTCAGTACGTAGTGTAGGTGGCAGCACTAATTATATTAGACCCTACAATTACAATTGCAATTATTTTTCTACAAGCATACAGATCCTAACCTCACAGCCCCGCCATATAATATTTAATCCTTACACATGTAATACCGACTAATAACTATTAAAGTTTAGAAGCCTAACCTCACAATTCAATAGAGTCTCTGTCGAAACTTCTAAGTTTGCAGAATTTAAAAAAATATTATGTCGATTTGGCGTTTTCCATTCTTCATGTAAATATTTAGACTGGACTTCTCAAGGCGATTCTTAAATGTATTCTCCGTAATTTTTTGTTTCTGAATTTTCTTTTTTTATTTATTTATTTAATTTAATTTAATAGCGTTATGTGGTTGACAGACATTTCATCAAAGCACTGTCGAATTGTGAGGTTAGAATCTGTATGCTTGTAGAAAAATAATTGTAAAACTTTTCTTATACTCGGCAATTTTCGTTTACTTAATTTTCTACATGAAAAACCAACCAAATAAATTTTCTTAGAGGCTGCTTCTGAAAAATTCAAAATTTGATAATTTTTAAATGGCTGTAATTAATCTTCTTTTAATGATAATCGTACTTATACGGTTTTGGAAAGCCTGAAGATTTAACTTTAACAATGTAAGTTGTATATATTTTTTTAAATCGCGCACATTATACGTAAATTTAATTTTAGCGAAGAAAGAATTTAAAATTAAAATAGCGACCCCTTACAGTTGAGTTGCAGGGCTCATCTTTTTGATTTTTGAGAAACATTTGAGAGGGTAAGTGCTAAAAAAAATTTGCAGGCAATGATTATTCCAAAATACTGGGCTGGGTATTTTGTCCATCCTCCGTTTCGTCATCATTTTGGTTTTCGTTTTCATTCTAGTTCTAGTGTCGTTTGTCTCCCTTCCTTTACCGGCAACCACGACGTTCAAGGCCGACCACCCGTTTCTGTTCTTCATCACACTGAACGAAGTCCATGTCTTCGCTGGAAGAGTTGCATCCCACCGAGCACTAATTCATAATTAAAGTGAAAATTAGTAGTATCCAGTTTATTTTTGTATCTCCCGCTCTATGTATGTTTAATAAAAAATGCCCAACTTGCCGATTTTACTATTTCGAAAATGGGGTGGGTTTCTCGATTGTTTTTAACGATGGCTGTGGTTAAGTCCGGCTGTATTGCAGTTTATGGTGTCGGCTTGTCGTTGAACCCAACCACAGGATCTTTCAAGGTCGATCGCCCGTTCCTCTATACGATCCAGCAAAATGGCGTCGTGCTTTTTGCAGGGAGGACGTCCGACTTCTAGTATCTAGTATCTAATTGAAATAAAACGCAGTTTTGCCACCACATTTTTGTTTTATTTATCGTTCGACTTCTTTCATATTTTGGGGTGAACGAAAGTCAAATTTCCAAAAGATCCGTATATTACGTATGTGACGATATATTTTCAAGTCAAAAAAAGTCAGTCAAATATCTTTTTTTTTTAAGCATACTGAATATGCAATTATTATTAATTATTAATTATTATTCATGTTTAAAACAAAACTGATACTCAAGGTTTTAAATTATTTTGCATTGCATTGTTGTTGCTTTCCGGTGGAAACGCCGCACTCCTAAAGAAATCTCTAGAATGTAGAATACGAATACGATACTCATCTTTTTGAAATAATTTGCTTACGAACCTGTTTCATTTCATGAAACAAAAAAATTAAAAGTTCCGCCTTAAAATTCTTCAAACATTGTACTCAATAAAGCTAGTAATTAAAAAAAATCTGAAATATAACTATAACTTGCATTTTTCACTCGTTTGGACAAATTATGCAGGCAATGATTATTCCAAAATACTGTTATTAAACATACATATTTTGTCCATCCACCGTTTCGTCATCATTTTGGTTTTCGTTTTCATTCTAGTTCTAGTTTCGTTTGACTCCCTCCCTTTACCGGCAACCAGGACGTTCAAGGCCGACCACCCGTTTCTGTTCTTCATCACACTGAACGAAGTCCATTTCTTCGCTGGAAGAGTTGTATCCCACCGAGCACTAATTCATAATTAAAGTGAAAATTAGTAGTATCCAGTTTATTTTTGTATCTACCGCTCTATGTATGTTTAATAAAAAATGCCCAACTTGCCGATTTTACTATTTCGAAAATGGGGTGGGTTTCTCGATTGTTTTTAAAGATGGCTGTGGTTAAATCCGGCTGTATTGCAGTTTATGGTGTCGGTTTGTCGTTGAACCCAACCACAGGATCTTTCAAGGTCGATCGTCCGTTCCTCTATACGATCCAGCAGAATGGCGTCGTGCTTTTTGCAGGGAGGACGTCCGACTTCTAGTATCTAGTATCTAATTGAAATAAAACGCAGTTTTGCCACCACATTTTTGTTTTATTTATTTGGGGCATAAAAAATGGCTATTTTCCTGGTAGCTCGTCGCTTTTACCGTTTCGTATAGTGAAGTAATCAAAAATGGTCCGTATGTCTTAGATATATTGCTACAAATTTTAGGAAACTGACCAATAAACTTTCTGTGTCAATTTACTACATCCAACAATGAACTAGCTAAACATGTCTTGTATTTCTTAATAAACAATAAAAATGGAATGGAATATTTTTGTGTTTTTACTTATTACGTAGCTGTATGAAATAAATAAATATGGAATGGGTTTGTTTTCTTGGCCTTTTTATTTAATTAATTTTATTATTTAATTTAAAAAATAGTTATTGTTAAAAAATGGTTAATGAAATTGTTGTCAACAAACCAAAAGAATATTTTTTTAAAGGGATTGAGTTGTTAATAAAGAGATGTAATATAATATTGAAAAATAATAAAAAATTGTTACTCTACTTTGTTTCTTTCGTAATATCCGATGAAAAATCAAAAGTATTTTGGCCGGACCGGTCAAATTAGTACGTTATAATTTTAAATTTAGAATTCTCCTTTTGTTTTTTATTGTTAATTGTTAGATATTTTTCTTTCTCTCCTCTTTTGGACAAAAAAATATATACAAAAATGAAAATCATTTATTTCCGAATTGAAATTATAAAAAAGCTTACGACTACACGAGTGTATAGGCACAACGATTAAGTATGGATGTGCTAAGTTTACTAAACGATGACGTCTTCACGCTGTTCTTCGCAATCCTTCAACCATATCTGGTACGATCCGTAAACGCAGAACCACAAGAAGCAGGAAGAGGCTGAAAACCGGAAAAATCGCGCACCATCCAAAAACCGATCGAAATTCTCTCACCGAAAACGATGAATATGATCAGAAAAGTCAAATCTTTGCTCGTGTTGCTCTCGATGTGTATCGTCGCGGCGAACAAGCTCAGGAAGATCAGCAACGCGTAGAGGAACGCGTATTTCTGATCCCTCTGCAATGAAAAACCGTTTTTATCGCGTGAATGCGGAGCGAAGCACCGTCGTTGACCTTAAGGACGGACACGAGAAGCAGAACGCTCAGTATAAGGTTGCAAGCGGCGAATCCCATCGACAATTTGAAGAAGCCCATTTGGAACTGCTCATTCTCGATGTGCTTCAGTTTCAGACTGCATATTATCACTCCGGACACGCCGAAAATCTAAAAGAAAGTAATAAATAAATAACGAAATAATAGGATGAAAACTTACGAAATTGGCTAGCATGACGACGAACCAACTGGCCGTCAGTTTTTTGTTATAAAACGTATTAGTCATTTTCTGTTATTGAGATTATCCGAAAACTCGCAACTTTTCGCTCACATATCGTCCGCTAACTCTGGACCGATCCGGTGGTTGCGCAAAAATCCGGATCAAAGCGCCAGACGCCCGACATCTCGGCGCCTTCGGTTATAGACGTTATTCTTATTGGCGGCCAAGATTCTTTGCCGGTCTTTAATTTGTCCCTTCGCCGCTCATCAAACAATCGCGAGCCCTTTTTTACGCACAAAATCCGCAGTCGCTTCGTAATGCAAGAACGAAACTTTTTTAATAATTGCAAATTATTAAAATTAATTAGGTTTTCAAAGTCGGTCGAAGCCGAATTTTTTACACAGCATCATCTACTCGCCGATAGATGGCGCGCGACCGCTGCATTCCGATAACCGGTGTTTAAATTTGCAGAGGGCGCTTGTTAATCCAGTTTGCACCCGAAATAATACCGCCAGACAGCGGAGGTGAAGTTTTAAGTGCGAAAAGTATCGTTTCGATACAGATTATCTTGTGTGTTCGTGACATCTAGTCGAAGACTCCTAGATGCGAAAGTAAGTGAGCTTTAACGCCGCGTGCGTTGGTGCGACGGTCTCGTCGCAGGTGGCGCGTGAATGTCAAATCTCAAACGTTCCGACATATCGACCGTTCCGAAATAATTGCATATTTTCAATATGTGTGCGCGGGGTCCGAACGGGGCCAAAACGAAAACGGTTTTTTCTTTTCGCTTCGCATTATTCGCGGATTTAACGGCGCCTGATCCCGGTACCCCGTCGGAACGGGCACACGTAAGTGCGAGCGTGTGCGCGATTCCATCAATGAATAATTTAAAAATGGATTTTTATTTATAAAGGTGAGTCATTTTTATTGTCATGTTTTGAATCGCCGCTCATCGAGCACCTGAAAACAAATATTGGCGGACGAAAGTCTGGTTTCTTCGGAAGTGCTGTTTTCTCCGGGTACCATCGTGTCGTGCGTGTATTTGTTTTCGTCAAAAAATTTCGTCGGAGCCGTTCTATTTTCGTACCTTTTCGGTAGGTAGCGCGGATGGTATTCATGCGTAAGTCTTGAAAAAGTGTTCCGTGCCCTTAGCCGTAGCGTTCTTATTTCACATTCATATTCGGCTTTGACCCTGAACGTCCCAAATTCAAATTAGGGTGTTTTTGTCCTTTTTATTCCTCCGGAACTATTCTTTGACTTGTAATATGTGTGGCCTAATCTGTAGGCGCGAAGACTGTGCTCATTAACAATTAGACGTACATCATTTGAAGATTGATCAACATATTGTCGATTTTTTGGGCAGTTTTATGTTATTCTACTAGTTGTTTAGGTAGGAAAATGTATAGAGGGCGCTAGTCGACGTATATTTATATATCCGATTTATTGGCTTTTTAAATTGTTGAACCTTTGAACGTGTTTTTGTTTTGTGTCATCCAACTTTAAATAATTGTATGCGTACGAAAACGGAGCTTTCCGCCCATGCCGATGACATGACGAATGACTTGCCCACCTTGACGCCCATGCTCGAAGTATTGAGACGCAGAAAGAAGTTGGACGTCTAGGTCTCTCAGTCAAGCGAAAATGGACGAATGTGTAGGCCAATATTATTAAATTGTCTATTTAAAACAAAAAGATGCGCATGGAGATATGGATTACCTGCAAAATAATCGGTCCTGTCAATACGTCGATAAATTTTGATTGTGATTTATTTTGTGCTTAGGGTAATTTATAGACAAATATCCATTTTAAAAATTTTTGAAAATAAATGTATTCAAGTCAACCTAAAAAGGAAAATATCAATAAAACCGGTATTTGATTTAACTGGCATTTATTTATTTCGCTTGCAGATAAAAATGCTCGGGTCACCATCACCACCATCGAACACAGCGCAGATGTCCAGGGGTGATTCTTCGTGATGGGTACAACGATATGGCGTCGCCTCCAAATGGGGTCCTGTTCGGCCCTTTTACAAGGTAGGATTTTGTTTGCACGCGTAGCAAATGGGTCCCATCGCCTTCTTAAAAAAAAAAAAAAGTTTAATGGCGGTGTGAACATTCGGTTTATGTAAAACTTCAAAGCAACGCTTCAAAGGAAAAATATTTTTCGGTTTTACGTAAACAGCGGAATTTCGTTCGTTGCGTGTCCCCATGTTTCACCACACACATTACCTGTTTTCGTCAGGCTACTTGTGCCTTTTTCGTCTTTGTTGCTGTTGGCCCTCTGTATCATTAATCGCAAAAATTGGTTTGGTTTTTCAACATAGTTTCAAAGAACCATGAAATAAAGGTTATCAATTATAATTCTTTAGCAATCGGCCAATTTTATTGCAAATCTTAAATATTTTTCAAGCGCTTTGCAAATTATCGGAGAAAGAAAGTTTTCAACATCTCATCTTTTGATGAACGCTCTGACAAGCTTTGGAAAATTATCAGAAGTAGGAAGTAGGAAGGAAGTTAGTTGGAAGTTGCAAAATACACAAGCCTACAAAATTAAACTTTTTGACAGATGTTTTTATTTTGAAAACTGATCTTATATAATTTTTTATAAAAATTCTATGCATTTGTTTGTCACGTAAGGTGGTATGCGTTCTAGGGCATTCAGCCAATATTAAAGTATATTGTCACCATTATCACCTTTAACAGACGGCAGTCCTAGGACAAAGGGCAGAGGCTTATAAATCAAGGGAAAGGTCGGTAGATTGCCAAATTTGTGCCAAAATTAGACTTTTTGACAGATGCTTTTATTTTGAAAACTGATTTTATATAATTTTAGTGGGCGTTAGATTTTTTTTGCAAATGTTAAATAAAAAAAACTATATTTCGAAAATAATTATTTTTTTTTATTCAGTAAAAGAGTGGAATCCCAGTTAAAAAAGTGAAAAAACTTTATTCGCACTTTTTTGAGTGGAATCTTCGTCTTTTTGCCGGAAAGCTGCCTGCATTTTCCCGACATTCGGGTGTGTGACTTTAAGGGCTTAAGGGTTTAAATATCCAGCAGTAGTCCACCATCATCGTTATGCTCGGTGACGTAGTTCAATTTCCTTAATATCCTGGTGAAACCTCTCTCCCTGTTCTTCGCTAATTGCTCCAAGATATTCAGGAAAATAGTTCAAGTGTGAACACTTTGCACTTTAAAACTTCAACCTAGACAATGAAAGTGTTGTAACATATTTTGAAGAATACGTGCCGTCCTTAGAGTTCAAAGCCAGGCGTTTTTCTCGACATTGATCATTGGTCATTGGTCATGTTCTTATCTGCGGCCCAACAAAAATACCTTCTTTTATCTTTTTTTTTTGTCACGAAGTGTGGAAGTTAACAATTCAGATGCATCCTTTGGAAGATGCAATTCGCACACTTTCGGGCTTTCTGAAATCCGGTGTGAAATCTGAGTCATCTGATCTGACGATATTACGATTTCTAGTTCTTTTGGGGCGATAAGTATCGGTACATTGGTCAAATAATAGAGTCAAGATTGGCCTACACAATTGAACATTACACGAACCAAAAAAACAATCATCACTGTGATTTCTAAGCTCTCACAGTACTATAGGAACACCAAAGCTTAAACTTTTTTTCCTACCTTTTTGTTACGGAGAGGAAGAAAGGATTATGAGGAACCCAGAGCCAAAATTCACGTTACACAAAAGAAGTAATAGTTTGTCTTTGCTTTACATAACTACGTTAGATATAACAAAAATTATTTGGAATAAATATACTGTATACGTTATAGATCACTAGAAATACGCAACAACGGAGACAACAGCCGCGAATACAGTGGCACGACGACCAATACACGCTTCTGCGCCAACTCTGTTGCCTTGCAGAGAAATCTTATATTATTCAATGTTGCCAAATCACATTTAATTTCCTAAAAATCAAATCATTTAAAAATCATGCGTAACATGGAACAAATATGTTCATGTCAGCGCCATGAAAAAAATAACGTGATAGAGCAAAAATATGGCGTTTTTTGGAAAAGAGGGCCCCAGAAACATGCAATGAACAGTAAAAAATCATATTTTCTCACACAAAATTGCAACAAATCTAGAGAAAATTATGAAGAACGGTATATACGATGTATCATTTTTTTGTGATATTGGCCTGGTCTAATAGCGACGCCTCGACGCTATTCTCCGTGGAAACAATCGCAAAATTATGGTGGGTATTCGGAAAACGTACAATCTCTCCTCGAAGTCTAAATTTATTAATAGAAATGTCTCACGCGAGTGCGTATACGATACGCCAAACAACAAAACAGGATACACATTGACAATTTGTTTTTTTATAATCGATATTAATTTATCATCGCGCGAAACCGCCGTAATTTATGGCGAACGGTTAAACTAATACGCAACGCCGCGCTGCCAACGTTCTCGCATCTGTCTTCGGGGATGACACATTCCGCATCCCGGTTTGTCAGAAACTTTAGACGTCTACGATCAACGGAATTTCGTACGTCCTGTTGACGTTGTAGACGACGTTGACCTGACGCGTCTTGTCCTCGCATATGATCGCCGGATAAACGACCCTGATGGCATCCCGTTCGACGAAACGTCTCACTTTGTCCAAGCACGCGCAATCGAATCCCAAGTTGTCCGTAAACTCGAGCACGGCAACGCCGGCGTCCGCTATCGCGTCCGGCAAACAGACGAGCGAGTTGGCGTTCGCCTGGACGATCCTGACCGTCCGGTTGGCGAACAATCGTTCAGGCAACGTGATGATCTTGTTGCCGTTGAACCTGAAGACGTCGACGGCGTCGTGGCCGCGAAACGCGTCCGGATCGATCTCGAGCAACCGATTCGCCGACAAATACAACTCCAGGGATTTCGTTTTCGCCATGTTTCTGAAAGCGTCCGCCTGCAGTCGCGATATCTCGTTGTAGACGACGTCCAGTTTGTGGACGCCGGTATTGCGGAACCAGTTCGAGTCGATCTCTTTCAAGTTGTTGTGACTCAAATTCACCGCTTCGAGTTCCGCCACGTCATCGAAAGCGTCGCCGTCTAGAGTGGCGAGCCGGTTCTCGGACAAGTCGATCTCTTTCACCCGGACGCCTTCGAAGACTCCCCTTTTGATCGCGCCGATCGGATTTGAGCTGATCTTCAGCAGGCTCAAGATCGAGCGAACGCGGAAGCATCCGGGTTCGAGCTCGCTCACTCCGCTATTCAACACGCTCAGCACACTTAGCTCCCTAGTGATGCGAATCAAGTTCGAGGAGATGGTCGGGATCGTGTTGTTCGCCACCGTTAGGGCGAACGAATCGTCTTCTAGGGTGATGACGTCAACTGAGGTTAAGTTAACCGGGTCTCGTCCGAACGCACGAACCACGGTCAGGTTGAAGATGGTGGCGGCGGAGGTCGAAACGCAGTCTTTGCCGAGGGAGAACATGGCGAGCAGTAAAATCGCGTTCATTTCGGCGCTCGTCCGGACGCGACACGAACTGTTTTGGGTTCCGTGCCGCTGAAATGCTGCCCAGTCGAAGGGACCAGCGGCGCGCGTCGATCCTTTAATTAAACTCAATTTAGTCTGTTTAATTCAATTTTCTGATTGCATTGCATTTCCCAGCGTTTGAAGCCCACTTTATTATAAAAAAAATCATTTAATCCTCCTTACTTCAGAAAGTAGGAAAAATTCTCAATTTGGGAATATCTCTCAGCTTTTGAAGCGCCCTCTGGCGAGAGTTGAGAATTATCAAAGGAAGAAGTTTTTTACGTCTTAACTTTTGATGCGCACACTATAGTTACTACAAAAGAAGGCGAATGTTAGCACTGCCGTGAGCTTTACGATTTGAGGGAGATACGTCTCATCTTTGCAAATATTATCAGAGTAGTATGCTTGCTTTCTTTTCATCCCTTGCAACGCACCCTTGCGAGCTTTGCTTTGCAAATTATCAGATAATGAAAATACGTCTCATTATTTCTCAAATTATCGGCTGTTAATGCGCTCTCTATACGTACTAACTCTATCTTAGCTTTTGATGCGCACTCTTGCAAGTTTTACAAATTATCACAAGAAAATTCGCTGGGTTTCGGCTTTTGAAGCGCACTCTTGCGAGCGTTGAGAATTATCAAAGGAAGAAAGTTTTTTGCGTCTTAACTTTTGACGCGCACATCATTCAAGCTAGCAGCGTTGCGATCTTTACCAGCTTCGTTTTGAAACGCACCCTTATGAGCTTCGCAAATGATCAGAGACGTATGTTTGCTGCTTCGGCTTTTGGTGCGCACTACGGAAATTTTTTTGAATGATCAGAGGAAGAAAGTTTTCGGTTTCATATCTTGAAATGCACCCTTGCGAGGCTTGCTTGCAAATTATCAGAGAAAAAAAATTCTCTATTTTAGCTTTTACAATTCACGCTTACGAGCTTTGAAATTATCAGAGGAAGAAAGCGCTCTGTGTTTCAGCCCTTCATATGCGTATTGAGGAGAATCATCAAGCTTTTGTTTCAACTTTTGATGCGCACTAATAAGAATTTCTTAGCACATAGAACGGGAAAAGCTTTGTAAAAGATCATTAACAGTGCAAGTGGGTACGCACGCCTATGACTAGCAGTGGCCAGATATCGCAGGGGTCAACATTTTTGATAATAAAATAAAATTCGTTGCCATTCATACGCATTTTGCGCGTCACTTCATGAGAGGCTGACACGCGGATTATAAACACTTACGTTATATATTTTTGACGTGGACGCTCTAGACGCGTACTCCAATCGAACAAAGACAAGAAAGGAGATGCAGCTGCAGCATCGAGGCTGCTCCATTTTCATTTTCTCTTCTTATTTTTATGACCATAATTGAATTTAGGTTTAGAGTCCTGCCTTCTCTTTAATTTTTAAATAAATATTATATTTCACAAGACTGACTTTTATTTTTAAATAAATATTATTATCTGAATAAGACTGACCTACTGGGGAGTCGAAATAAGGTGAGCAGGGCAAGCCTGAAAACGAACATTCCAGCCTCAACCACTGCATGCACAAAAATCAACCTTTGATAGGACGATAAATACAGGATGTGCATGAAGGATGAGGAAAGGATTAGATACTCAAAACTAGTAGTTGACATCCTGGAACTTGAGAATCTGAAGAACATACCGCCCCTTCAATTAACGGACGTGGGCTCAACTTGATGAAAGAAGGTATAAAATTAGAAGTGTGCCGTAATAAATCGCTTGGTCGCATCGGAAAGCTATATATACCAAGCTAGAACCTATTTTATTGGTTCCGCACAAAAAAAAATCATATCCTGGACAGTTTACATTCCAATGACGTATGATTCGCTCTTGGAAGCTGTCATAGAGACGTATTTTACAGACACTTCCCTTTTATCGTCATTTTTTTCATTACTTTAAGCGAAACGCTCATAAACAGAGGATGATCGCGTGCAGCACTCTCATTAAGTTGGGTTAGGTGGTTATCGTCGTTATTTTGGAATAATTGCGGCAGAAAAATACAGACGACGGTAATAGTTATTTTTAGTGTTGACAGAATATCGACGCGAATGTATCTGTGAAAAATAACCAGCAAACGATCGACGACCCTATTAAATCTTGTTTTTCCACGCGGCCCCTTAAATATACAGCACGGCTACTCTTATCCATACGAATTCGCAAAAATCCTATTTTAAAAAATGGCGGGCTATTTTTTAAATTTTTTTGAGCATGTGTGTCAGTTGCTTGAATGAACTTTGATACTACTCTGTATCTTGAAGTAAGTAAATTCCGTTTTAACGTTCAATACCCCGCAACCTTTGGATAAAGTACGTTCGGGTCAGTGTTCATTATTTGATCCGTAGTATCCCCGATTGACGCAAATCCGATTGGTATACTTCGACCAGAATTATAGTGCTTTCACAACCGACCCCGTCATTAACTTTGCCTACTGTTTATTATTCCAAAACCCCAGCGCTTTATAAAACATCCTGCCTAGCAATTTATCTACCTACACTAACAGAGCAATTCTTGAAACATGTACATAAAAAAATTAATAACAACTTATTACGTTCTATGTCACTTTTTTTTTTTTTTTGATGCTCCTACTTCCCCTTCTGAATTTGTTATAAAATTGTAAACATTCAAAACAATTTGTTTAGCATTCGAACACAAATGGATCCGTTTTTTAGTTTGCTGAGGTGGTTCGTCTTCTGAATTGTCATTACGTTCGACTACCATCTCCACTTCATCTCCAAATTCTGTGTTATTTTCCATGTCGTCTTCTAACAGGGGAACATTGCTTCATTCCACCGTCTCCATATTTTGTGTTAAAAAACAGAAACCTTCAAAAAATGTTCAATTGTAAGATTCTAATAAATATTGATCTGTATTCTTATGACGTACCTTTATCTACCTCGCATCGAAGAACTATGTAGATGACACAGGAAAACAAGAAGAAGAATGAATCGACAGGCACCCAAGACAAAAATGATAAATAGAGTACAAGTACTTAGCCCTTGAATTATCCAGTGAAAACAGCCTAGCAGGGTCAAAGCTCGAGAATCAGGTACATAAACATGTACTCACTGGAAGGCTCTATACCTCTATGATATATACGAACATATTGCAAATACTTAAAACGCAAAAGCAATGAATGTACTATATTTTTGGTCGTACAATACGCCCGCTTATATGCGGCTAAATTTGGAAACCAATTTTGACTCCGATATAAACCTTTCATTTATAGACTCATTCTCCCCGCCGATCACGTTGGTATGACCGAAATTCCGTGACTCACAAAAAATGTCTGAAACCAATTTAACATCGCGCCGTAAATATTGATTTTGGAGATGTGCTTTTAGCGGAACTGATGCGTATCTCCCACGCGAAGGATCTTGATTATTGACAATACGTGTGCTCCATCATCCGATGATTAAGTCGGATTGGTTCTAGACAATTTTTAGTCTATAGTCTGAATTGGTTTCTATAGCAACGAAACATACTGTGCTGCCAAGGTGATTGAAGTGTGAACTAAATTTGTATATTGTAATTATTTTTTATATAGACGGGGAAACTTTACTTCTATAAAAAAGCTCAAACTCAGCGCAAGCGCAACTCAAAAAAGAATAAATTCACTGTTACGGGTTTCAGGGAAATAAACATATTTTTCTTTTGGATTCTTAATTTTAAACCGTGCGTTTGAACTGTAAGTGTTTTTGTTCGGGCTTAATGGCCGTCGTTGAGTGGAATTTCTTCGTGACGAATTTCCTTCTTATGGGATGGCGACTTCTACGAGCAGACGGATGGGGTAGCTATGGGAAGCCCACTTAGCCCGGTGATAGCCAACTACTTTATGGAGAAATTCGAGCAGAGAGCGATCAGCTCGTCTGAATACAAACCATCAAAATGGCTCCGATACGTGGATGACACCTTTGTAATTTGGAGTCACGGAAGAGATAGAATTGATCGTTTCCTGGACCACCTGAACGCTCAACATCCAAGTATAAAATTTACCATGGAGACAGAACAAAATCAGCGAATAGCGTTTCTGGATGTTCTAATAAAAAGATGCAATGGGAAACTAAGCCACACAGTGTACCGCAAGCCGACTGACACAGACAGGTACCTACAGGCCTTATCCAACCATCATCCAAGCCAAAAAAGGGGAATCATTACAACCTTAACAGAACGTGCCCGGAGGATCTGTGATCCACAACACCTGGAAGCAGAACTAGATCACCTCAAAGAAGCCTTCCAATCAAACGGATATCTGATATCGATAAGGCTATGAGGCCCAGAACTGCCTCACGACAAGACCCGGGTGAACAACTAACGGTTGGGAGTGCTTATCTACCTTTTATTCCTCGAGTGACAGACAGGACTGGAAAAATATTGAAAAAGCATAATATTAACATAATATTTAAACCAACAAGGAAAATACAACAAACGCTAAGATCAGCCAAGGACAAGAGAGATCCACTGTCAGCCGCCGGAGTCTACCGCATACCATGCACGTGTGGAAAGGTGTGCGTTGGAACGACAAAAAGATCTGTCGCAACCAGGATAAAGGACAATCAGAGAAACTGCAGACTGGGACAAACGGACAAATCGGCAGTAGCGGAACACGCGCTCAGTGAAGGGGATCACAACATTCTTTTTGGGGAAGTCAGGCTTCTTGCGCCTACTTCGAGCTATCACGCCCGCCTCGTACGAGAAGAAATAGAAATCCATAAACATACAAATAATTTCAAACAAGTTTGGAACCCCATCTTAAGGAACGCAAGGATAGCCCCGGTGGTCACAACCACTCATGCGTTAAAATGTCCCGCCCCCTCCCCTCCACGACTCCCCAGGCATAAATACAACTTACGGCCGGGAGCGCGTCAGTCTGCATCCAACATCGGAGATGGAAGCACCTCAGAAGAAGCTCGTGCTAGCGAAGAAAGGCAGGAAGAAATTCCACTCAACGACGGCCATTAAACCCGAACAAAAACACTTACAGTTAAAACAACGTTATT